AATTTTAGCCTAGCTTATACCGTACGTTATACATTAAACGCACATGCATAAACGTATTATGTGCATTATTATTTCGAATCCAGAAAATATGGTCACTGATTGTGAACTGTGTGACAAAAAGGCTTTTGAGAATGAAAAGATTACAACTGACTGTTTAATTAGAATTCTTGATGTGACAGTTATATGACTTTGTGGACCAGCCAATAACTTTGTACCTAACCAAGAAATTATGTCTCTTCTCTTTATAAAATTAAAAAGACAGTTAAGATGCTTTTTAGATGAAATTGTCTAAACAACTTAGGTTGAAAGAAATTTTTAATGAAACAAAAAATAAATGTTAACATGAGTTTTTTCTTTTAAATTTTGGTTCTGTTAATAAATGTGTCATTATTACACAAACAGTCATTTCATATATTTAGTTTTGCAATTTCTAAGTGTCATCTTACTGTATTTAGATTGATGATCTATAATCTGGAAATTTCTTAAATTTGAATTTGCTGAAGTCCAAATGATTCCAGATCTTGGATTTTGTATCATAATTGAGAGATTGTGATTGATATTTAAATTTATGCATCTGAATTAAATTTTCACAACCCCATCATATTACTTTGAAACTTCATTTGGGTATGCGACCCAAAGTTCAAGTAGCGTTGGTTTATTTTATTTTATAGACTTTATATAGTTTTATGTCTTTATTTCAAAGTAGTTTGTTTTAAAATTTTCATAAATGTTTTTAACTTTCATAGAATTTTCTACATAAAAGTAATGACTAATATGTGACGATGGAAGTTCCTCCTAATGAAACACCCGAACCAGTGAAATCCTTGTTTGATTCAGGTAAGTTTCCTGGTGAAAGGTGTTTAAAAAAATGCTTAAATTTATACAGTACGAAGTCTGAAATCCGGACGTCCATCATCTGAAATAATCTAAAATCCGGACCTCAAAACTATCAAAACCGTTTTTCTCGTAGGCTTTATGCATGGATATTTAATCCCCCCCCATGCATAATAAAACATCTGGGGAGTGTTTGATTCTTAATTTCACTTCTGCACTCAGTAAAATACTTTGTTATTGAAGGAACAATCATTTTAGCATAAATTTGTACAATCAGTAATTTGGCTCCATTGCTGCGTATCTGCTTTGGCACACTCAAACCGAAACATTCCACATAGATTCATTGTTGCTATATCGAACGGCGATCATTATTCAGTATACTTTCGTCATCACCCAGGTTATCAAACTGACAACTAAGTAATGACTCATGAGTGATGCTAAACAATTTTTTTATGTTGGTAATTGAAAATAAGGAGTATGGTACCTTTATGTGACATTCGGCTTAGCGATGATCAGATTTAAGTTAAATGCGCTAAAAAGTTGACGAAAAAAATTTACCAAGAATTCTCCATATGCAAAAATAGAGTTTGTTAACGCTACCAAGACCCAAGATCTATTTAGGGCTATTTGATTAAGAATAATGATTTGGTATTCATAGAAACCCAGGGTCAGGGCTCGTATGGCTGCCCAGTCGCAGATTAGGACGATACAGACTGCATCGGGGTAAGTATCTACACTGGCTCTCCTAGCTTAAGTATATGTGGAATTTATTTATTCAGCACTCTGCTAAGCCTATCAGTGCCGAAAGACAGAAGTAAATAATAACAATTCAGCTTATTGTATCGTGTGAGATAGAGCAAGATAAATTTATGAACAACGTCATATCGCCAAGTCATGCTGAATAGCCAAATATATAAAGTGAAGGCTAGTTAATTTGATGACGATAGCCAAATTTAAAGGTTTTGGATCGCAAAACAACGTGCATTCCAATTAACGGATTTGTAGAATGTGGAGAAGTGGAATAATGAAGATGATATAAAAGAAGTTTTTTCATAGTGATGACAATGATTCTCATTATCATCATTAAATGCGAATCGTAGTTGGTTCTAGACCGAAATACCGTTACTGAAGTGAAGAAGTGACGAGAATTTACTGAAACGAGAAATTTCTATTGAAAGTAGTCGGAATCAAAACAGCAGTTGCATGACTTGTAACAATGTAACTAAACAAGAGATTATGTCTGTTTACAGAATTAAAGAGAAAGTACTGTTAGCACAAAAAACGAAGCAACTTAAACAACTTGCATTGAAAGAAATGTCTAATGAGGTAAACAAATAAATATTAAGCTTTTTTTTTTTGTAAATTTTAATACCCTTTATATCATAAATCACAATTTCATATTTTTAATTTTATAATTTCTACATGCACACACATACACACACACATATATATATATACTTCGTAAAACAATTGGTAAATAGGGCTTTGGATATAAACTTCAAATGAGAAGTTTTGATAGCTGATGTATGATCCATAGGTACTGTATGCTGCAAGGAAAGAAAATTATGCACTTTACAAGGAACAGTAAAATTTTTTCAGCTTCTGTCGGAAAGCAAAAAGTGCATATCTTGTACATATTGTAAAAAAGAACAAAAAACATGATTGAGATAATTATAATAGCCCCTGACAAAAAATAATGGTCTACATTTGTGAGGCATACAATTGGCGAAGTTATCGAAGAGGGATTGGGATATTCTCTAGAATTTCCCTACCTAGAGTATCTACCTGATAAACTGTTTTTGGGGCAATAAGCAACCAGCAACCTTTTTCCTAGAATGCCCCAATAATTTTTGATTGAATTCATGTCGAGAAAGCAGGCTGTTCAATCTATTTAAAGGATTTCTTTGTTAAAAGGAAGTCTTTCACTAGCCGATCATGACGTGGCCTGTGATGTTATTATTGTAGTGGCTCAGTTATTGCATGAATAATAATTATTTTTCATTTCATGTATTATATATTTTTGCATGCATTTAATTATTTTATAAAATTAATTTTAACGTTTTATTAATTATCATATTTATATTTCTTTTATGCTGAATGGCAACAAATAATTATTCATGATTATTTTGTTTTCAAAATCTCATTCAGTTGTTTTTGTTAGTCTAAATAGTAGCTCATTTTGATAGTTAAAAACAAAAGGAGTAAACTTAGTTACTCAGTAGTGATTCTTGCTATATCTAAATTGTAATTCAGTTTGAATACTGGTAATTAAAGGCTATATTATCATTGACAATGAATTCATCTCTCAGTAATGCAGCATGAGAGATGATAGAATGTCTGAGGATCGCATTCCATATTGCTAAGGTGTCAATTGTCCATTTTTGATGATTTCATAGTTTGTATGATTATAAATACAGATATCATCCTAGACCGTCAATCTGCCGCCTTCAGATCACACACTTTTGGTATGCAAATGCAGAATTATTCAGAGTGCCACATTCTCTCCTTATGGTAAGCCAGTTATTGTCAAGTTGCATACTAAAGAATTCATTTGAGAAAGCATTGCTTCCTTCCTTTTGTCTCTGTTAGAGGTACTTTTGTGCTCGCATTTTCTGGCCAGTACAGTGACCTGCTATTAAAGAAACCTAAATCGTAATTCTGCAATTGTACAATCTAAAATTATATAGAGTTTGTTTTGAATATCTGAAGTTGAAACACTGGTACCAATAACTGACAGAAGTTGTTGCAGAGAAGAGTGGCATTCCTTCTACAGTTTTTTTCTGGCTGGTATTGTTAAATACTAATCTTGTGCTGTATGTCTGCCACCTTCTCCTTGTCTTTGCTTAATACTTTTAGTTTTCAAAAACTGATTTCATAGTATGGAGATGTCATTTTGGAGCATTCCAATGGCTTCTTTTGGAATGAGTTGTGTTTTGCCTGCTTCTAAATGAATGATGATATGTGTCGTTATTGTCCATACATCCAAATCATCAGTGAGTGTGTGAACTAGCAAAAAACAATGGTTTGGTTATCCTTTATGATTTATAGATATTCACCCTTCTGTCATCAAATAATAAAAAGAAATACAGTACAAAGTCCAAAATCCGGATGTCCATTATCCGGAATGATCTAAAATCCAGATCTCAAAGCCACTAACAAACATTTTGTTTTTTAATTACTGCTTTACAGCATGCGCATTTGATTTTCCTTCAATAAAAATTGTGAATTTTCACTTCAAATTCGATTTTATTCCTTAGCCTAAATAAATACCTCGTTATGGAAAACATCATGTAAGCATAAATTGTGAGATTAATAATTTGGCTCCTAGCTGAGTATCGCTTGGATACATCCCAAAGAAATATCCTATTTTAATCCCTGATGCTGACTGGAGGTCATTATTATTAATTTTGCTTTCTCAGGCAGTTATCATACATACAGCTCAGTAAAACTCATGCAGCAATGTCTAAACTTTTTTTTTATATTAGGAATTTAATAACAAGAGTAAGGCAACTTTTTATGCTAACATTATGCTTGGCGATCATTATAGATTTTTAAATGCTGTAAGAAATGTTGACTAGGAAAAATTCAACAAAAATTTCTTTTCACATGCTAAAAGTAGATTTTGTTAATGAAACTCATAAGCCAAAATATTACATTTAGTGCTGTTTAAATTAAGAATAACTGGTATGTTATTCACCATAAACCCAGAAGTGGTGGCAGAATATGTTGGTACCGGATGGCAGAATTTAGGGACGATGGAATTTTTGGAATTTGGGGAAGCATCAAGCGGCAAAATTAAGGGATAAGAAGTTTTTATCATTTAGGGAAAGCACTAGGATCCGAAGTTTAGGCGTGGTGAAAATTTAGAACTTAGGAAGGCGCTTTGTAGCAGAATTTAGGACCCATGGAGACTGCACCAGGAGGTATCTAGCGCCGGCCCTAGATAAAGCCTTAAGTATATGTGGGAGTTTATTTATTCAGGACGCAGATTAGATTTAAGCATGTGCAAGAAATAAACGTAGGTATGGTAAATAACTAATACAATCCAGGCTTAATTCAGTACGCAATAGGAGCAAGACAAAATTTACCAAAACAACTTGGCTTTCTTCCCAATCTTGTGATACACAGCCAGTAATGTATAACGGACACTATTAAGCTAGGCTAAAATTATCTTGACTGATTCTAAGGTATTTCAGTTAATGTAGCAGACTCTGCTGCTCCCTAATCTTATAATTTGATCCAGCGTATTATTTTTTGCAGACTGTTATTATTACCCAAATTTTATAAAAACAAAGCTTGAACTTTCGATTATGTCGAAAAGAGTTTCCAATTTTAGAACTGCCCAGGATCTACAAAGCGAAACCACGTTCGATGTCTATTAAACAAAAAGTGGAATTTCTGCAAAAAATGGCTAAAGGCATATCCATGTCAAAATTATGTGAGAAGTATGGAATTGCAAAGTCAGCTGTATATGACATAAGAAAAAAGAAAAAGGAGCTTTTTGAATTTTTTGTGGAAGCAACTTAAACAACTTACATTGAAAGAAATGTTTAATAAAGTAAACAAATAAATATTAAGCTTTTTTTTGTAAATTTTGATATGAATTGCAATTTCATATTTTTTAATGGTATAATTTCTACATGCCATCTTACCAGATTTAAATTGATGATCTAATATCCGGAAAAATCCAAAATCGCCGAAGTCTCAACAAGCCCGGATTTCGGACTTTGTACTGTATTTTATAAGAAATAAGACATTTTGTGGAAGAAAAAAATTCTAAGAATGATATTTATTTTTTTTACAGCTGATTGTAACTTTTACATATTTTTACAGTGAGTAGAATGTTCAACAAAATGAAGATTTAATATAAAATGTCTTTTTTCGTGCATAATCGAGTATGTATATTGGATGCATAGGTATTAGTTATTGTCCCTCTGTACTCAAAGGCCCACCAGCTGCCGTGCGGTAAAGTCGCTGAAAACTGGTAGTTCGGTCTGAGGTTCGAATCTCACAAATGGGCTGGCTGCATGGGCATTGTTCTGATTTTTACCATGTGTAATGTGTATACAAACATTTTTCCCTTAGAAAAATCTTCCACGAAGGCATCCCTCCCGTTAGGCAAATAGCCCTTGAGGATTTACCATAATTATATAAAACCAAACTCTCTGTAATCGAAAATTTGCTCAAAAAATGAAAGCTTTTCCAAATATTGAAAATGGGAATGTCAATAATAAAAAAATACCAAAGAAATAAATATCATTCTTGCAAATCTTAATAAAATTTTTTAACAGTTTGATATTCTAAATGTATATATAATTTCTTAATTTTTTTATGGAATTTCAAATGATTTTTTTTTAAATTTGCAATTTTTATTATAGTTACAGGACTGTTAGCAGCATATGGATGGTCAATTTTGTTTTTCCTTGTTATTGCAAATTTGCTTTGGAGTCATTTCTATCCAAAATATAAAAAATGGAGAGAGAAAGTAGAGGATCAGGAAAAAGAAGCTGAGTATGAGCAAAGTAAGCACTTTTATTGCTATTAATTGCTTTTGAAGAAACATGAAATAATATACTATAAATTTAAATTGGAGGGAGAGATTATTGGCATTAAAATGAATTTCATGGAATGTATTTGAAAATTAAAAAAAAAGTATAGCAAAAAATAATTAAATGTAGTTCTCATATATTTTGCATTCAGATTTTGCTTTATCATAAAACTCAGTCCCCTCCAGATTTTTTTTTTTTTTATTTTAAATTTTCAAAGTTTTTCATGTATATAGATATATATATATGTATAAATAACATAAAAATACATAAAACAAACTTCAAATTTGAATTGCAATAGTCCTTTTTATTCTTCATTTTAATCTGAGCACTTCTTTTCATTTTAAAAATAATAACTATTTCTAACATACCAATCCAAACTGCATCATTTCAAAATTAATCTGCATCATAAGATCTTGCTTAATGCTGCAATGCAGATACCTTTCATCCAGGTACTGAATAAGATTCCTATTGAAACCAAAAAATGTATCTTTTCCTTGCTTCTTCTGAATGCTTCAAACTTTTCTGCTTCCTTGCTTCAAAGCAACATATCGCTGCCACCTCTCTGTATTTCCCATTGTCTGAAGATATATTAAGCTTAAAAAACTGTAGATTTCATATTGCCTCCATGATGATGTGTGAATCAAAGTATGTCTCTTAAGAATTAGTTGTCAAACATTAAATTGTGTATCTATGGCTATATTTGTCTGCAGGTTTCATCTTTCTGTCTACACAATAAACCTAACCAGTTTATTACACACACATGTATATGTATCCAGTTAATCAATTTCACCATTTGTTCTGTAGTGTATTTTTTATGTTAATTGAATAATGTAATATGGTGATGGTGCTTTTCTGTACTGCCTAGTGTTGTGCTACTTTAGCATATGTTTCCTTCAGTATGTGTAAAAGTTCTAGCTGTTGTTTAGTTGGGAAAAGTGGAAGAATGTAAAAATTAAAGTGCCTATGATTTAACATAATTGTCCCATGCTGATAAAATTTTATATAATATTTTAAGGTGTAAAGTAATAAAATCTTTTAATACCATTTTCACATTGTCAAAAATCTGGAGAGTGAAGATATTCTATATCGATTGTAAAAGTTGGCATTCTGTAGGTTCAAGTTTGGGGATGTACAGTGAGTGGTAATATTTCCCATTGAGGAGAATGCAAATTTCACATTTTATGGCATTGTACTGTTTAGATGATCAGATTTTATGGAAGTACATTGTGAAAAATTGCAGGCAAAGTGTTTGCATGTGTGTTGGACACTAGTTTAAATAACTGAATTATTGGGTATATGTGTCAAGGAAATTCTGTTAAAAAAAATTGGCCCCAAATACAACTTCCCAATTGATGTAGTACATCTGAGAAGTGTCTGTATCTTTTATCTAAAACAATATCTAAAACAGGAGTTACTAGATGCATCATTTAAATATATGTAAGGATATTGAAACATTGCTCTCCAAAGTTGCCAATGAATTTTGTGATTTTTTGGTGGAGGTACAAATAACCAGAAAGGGCCATATTCAACTATATTAAATATACACTGGTAAAATAAATTAAGACAATTTGCATATTTTATCAAATTGCATGAAAAGAACTGAACTGAAGGAAAAACCTCTGCTTCTAGATAAAAATGCAACTTTTGTATGGCAAATACGTCGCACACGTGTGTGTAGGTGAAGCCAGCAGAAAAATGGGCTTCATAAGCACATGAAGGGTAAGACAAATTGTGTTCACTAGCACACCTCGGCGAATTTCTTGGTGTTATTTTGTGGCAAGCGGTTAAATTCACATCGGAACTTTAAAAAAGGAGTAACCACCAATGTTTAGATGATGGAATGAGGTGGTGAATTGTGGGGAGGATGGAGGCAGGCCAGTCGTAGGTCAGATATGCAGAGAGTTTAATTTAACGTCCAGCGTCGTGTGTAACCTACGGAAACAGTTCCAGGATACTGGATCCATAGAGAGAAAGCCTGGGCAAGGTTGTCCAAGAGCCACGACGGCCAGAGAAGATGGTTATTTGTTCATTTTAGCGAGGCATAACAGAGGGGCTACAGCTTCTCAGCTTTCTGCAGACCTGTATGCAGCCACAGGAACGCGTGTAACAAGGGTGACTGTTTTCAAAAGACTGAATGAGAAAGGGTGGTTTGCCAGAAGGCCGGCTGTTTGCGTCCCGCTCACGTCTGCGGACAGGAGAGTCCGATTAGCATGGTGTAGAAAGTATAGTGATAGGAGTACACAGGGGACCATCACCGACAGTCCCCGTTTTATCCTAAATACTGATTCTTGCCATACTTTCATATGGAGAGTGCCAAGGACCCACTACCTACCCTCCAATGTCCGCAGAATCAACAATTATGGTGGTGTAATGGTCTGGGCAGGCATCAGGTTGGATTTCCGCACACTTCTCCACGTCTTTGACAGAGGCTCTGTGACTGGTGTGAGGTATAGGGATGAGCCTTAGAGCTCTATGTTTGCCTTTTCTGGGGTGCAGTGGGTCCCAAGTTCATCTTATGATAATGCGAGGCCACATAGAGCTCATCTGGTCGACGAATTTCTTGAGAGTGGAGATATTTCCCGGATGTATTGGCCAGCCAGGTCTCCAGACCTCAACCCTATAGAGCATGTCTGGGACGTTCTGGGAAGGGCAATTGCAATTTACAACCCCCTCCAAGAACCATCCAGGAGCTGAAAAGAACATTGCTGAATGAGTGGAACCGATTGCAACAGACACTGATAAACTACCTTATTTCCACTATGACATTACGCTGTGAGGCCTTTATAGCTGTAAGAGGGAACCATACCCCCTATTAACCCATTTCTTTTGTACCATACACCCTATTAACCCATTTCTTTTGTGTCTTCTGCAACCGCTGTTCAGACTCCCATGTGTGTTACACACGAACGAACATGTGTGTCTATTATTACTGTTGAATGTTTATTTTGTTTGTATTATATCAACCTATGTTCACACCAAATTTTATTAAAATCTGTGCAGTAGTTCTGGAGATCGTAGATCAAATATGAAAATTCTCTTGATTTCTTTGCAGAGTGTAGAAATAGTAGTTAATGTTCCACCTAATAGTGCATTTGTTTATTGATAAAGAGGTGTGCTTATTTTATTACAGATCCTGATCTCATAATATCAAGACAAGAAGCCTTAGCCTTGGCTCGTCAAAGGCTTCAAGAGCAACATGATAGATTAGCTCGAGAATATGCGGAGAAGATGAAAGAGGTAATATTATTTAAGTAGCACTTATTACATATGAATGCAAAATTTGCTGTATAGTAAATTAAGCATAAATCAAAATGTATACTTTTGTGCTAGATTAAGACTCACTGCAGTGTTTATTTTCATTACTTTCTAATTTTGTAATGGTTTATTAATTTATAAAAAACTTGTAATTACAATCAGTGAAGCATAAGTAAATTTCATCCGAAATAAAATCTTAATGTTATAGTTATTTATGTACAGTTTGAGTTCTTATATTGCAATCAGAATCTTTCAAAGATGACTGTACTTTTGTAATATTTTTATAAAATTTCTTTAGCTCAAAAGTTGAGAAATGATTGGTCAAGAAGTAGCAGCGAAGTAGCCTCTGGGCCAGTAGGGAAAAGGGAAGAATATCTTTACATTCAAAAGCAATTTAAATGTATAAATTTTTGTCAGCCACATGTCATAGCGCTCAATGAACTGGAAGTTGATCTGTCAGCACTATCTTCAGGGAAGATGTTTTTATTTTATTCGGCTTATAATTCCTTACTAAATGTAGTGTTTCATCTCGATGTACTCCGATAGGATTTAAATCAATTTCCTCGTCATTATAAATATCACGAATACACATCAAATAGTTTTTGGTTGCAATTTTCTAATTTCGACTATGCGTAATGTATGCTTTACGCATGCATGCATTGAAAAAAATGTGTAATAAGGTAAACAAATAAATTTTAAGCTTTTTTTTTTTTTTTTTTTTTTTTTTTTTTTGTAAATTTTGATACCCTTTAGATCATAATTGCTCTTTATTTCATAAATTACGGTTTCATATTTTTAATTGCATAATTTCTGCATGCCATCTTACCAGATTTAAATTGATGGTCTATAATCTGGAATCGCCGAAGTTTCGACGATTCCGGATTAAAGACTTTGTACTGTATTTTCATATCAAATGAGCCTCATTTCATAAAGATCATCATAATCTTTGTTTTGTATTTAAGCTTTTAATTCAGTTAATAATCATACAAAAGATAATTTAATTATATAAAAGCTTGTGATACTCTGATATTTCTATCATTTCTTGTGTTTAAAGTCCTTACCAAAACAATTAAATTTTTCTCACTTGTATTAAGGTACAGTAGCACAACATTCAAAAGACTGCTGGGATTTGATATGCATGCAAGAAGTGAATTAGATTGCTTTAGAATGAAGCCGTTTATAGAAATCACTTCTGAAACTGAATATTTCTAGAAACATTAAATAAATGGTACTGAACATTGATAGTCATATCTCTAAGATATCTGTCAAAATGGACCATAATTGTGGATTGTCATTTTAAAAAATTTCTATATTATATTCATTTACTCAAAAAATTCATAAAATATTTAAAGCACAGTTCTATTTAAAATGTAAAATATTATTATTTATGGGTGTTTCTAAAATGTAAAATATTATTACTTTTGGATGTTCCAATGGATGTTACTTTCGAAGTAACATCCATTGGAACCTGTGTGCTGACTCAGCACTTCTGATATTCATGAGAGCATTGGGAGAATATTTTGTTTGGTATTGGTTTCAACATTTATTTAATTACAGCAAAGTACATCAGGGTTACTTGCTTAAGGGAAGAGATGGCCTTTGTAGAGGAACTGTCATAGGAAAACTAGTTCATATCCATATTGTACGTTGGAAAATCTTGAAATCACCCTTGCAGCTGTTTTGTTCTCCTGGAATGGAACCAAGGTTGAATTACCAATCATCAGTGACTTTATCTTTCCCGCACTGGTGGGCCTTTTGGTATGGGTCATAGATTTGCTTTTGATAGTTTTAACCATAGGGAAGCATTTAAACCCTAGAACGATACTGATAAGATAAAATCAGGATGTGTCAATCCATTATTTCTCAAAAACACAGTATGTGGAACATTCATCCTGATTTGATTAGGTCAGAGGATTCTAAATTTGGCAAATAAAGTAGCTGTGGTATGTCAGAGACCTATTTTAGAGACTTCAGAAAAAAAAAGGGGGGATAAAAGGCTCCTTTGCTGTTAAAACATTGTTTGTTTACTGTGCGACAATGTGCTGAAAGGTTGAAGTGCTTTATGCTACATGACAGATTATGCTGGCTGATATGATATTACTTTATATTTTTTTAATAAGAGAAGAATGTTTTTAACAGAGAAATAGTATCAAAATGTCGATTATATTCAATAAAGTTATTAGAAGCATTTACTATTTATGATAAATTTCTTGTGCAGATATATATCTTATATTACTTTTGACATGTATATTACCTTTTTTTTCTATTAATGTGTATAGAAAGAAGAGAAGAAAAGGAAAGAGAAAATTGAAGCATATGAGAGAATGATGCAGGGCAAATCCAAATCTGTCCAGCCTCAAACTCTAAGGGGAAGCGATTATAATCCACTAACAGGTTCTGGTGGTGGCAGTTGCAGTTACAGACCTGCTCGACAGAGAGGTGGTGGTGGAGGAGGATGAGGTTAAAGATACATGTAACTGTAATCCATCCCTCTTATTCTTGTAAGTATAGTGTTAAGTATGTAAAATGTTGAAAGACATTTGATATTTTACTAGATCGTAATTTAGTTTTGAAAAGTAGATGAATATAATATTGATGATGAGTAATAATTTAACTTGGTAAAATTTTATTTTTTGGCATTAATTTCAAATGCAGAATTCTAGTGCATTTTGAAAGACTTATTCTTGCTGAAGGAAGAGCATATCAAAGATAAATATTGAACTTCAAAGAAAAGAAGGGGGTAATGCTTACTGTGAAGTGTGTGCATTATTTAAAATTCTCATACATGTGGTACTAAATAACAAGTAAATGTTTTCATGTGTTCAGTATGCAGTACAGGGGTAGAGTGATACTGCATCCATGAAATTGGAGAGAGATATACATAGTCATATCATGAAGCAGTACACCATGGTTTTGGGCTAGCAGTCAGCTTCCATTAATTATCATACTGTGCAGGCCTTTGTATGCATTAAAAGTAATGTGTTCAATCTAATAAATTTCCATCATGAATTTCTTAAATATGCTTGCTATTTTTTGCAGTTTCTTCTTATAATAACTCTTTATCTGTAAGTAACATGGTGCATTCCACATGCCAATGGCAGTAATTTTCTCTTTACCATAGCAGTGTGCAGCATGTCCTTGAGCTTTTCTACAGCCTCCTGTCCCATTGCATGACCACCAGTGGCATATATTGGAAAGTGTTAACATTAGTTCTGACACGTCCAGCGAATGCCACTAGTGAACAAATCAGTAGTAATCAAAGGATTGTAGTAATCAAAGGAAGCCTATGCCTATAAAGCCAGTTAATCTCATTTTTATATATTTGAATGGATTTCTGTCTCTTTTATTGTTGAGTAATAATATGTTTGAAACAACTGTTTCTTATATCATCACATTGCTGATTATCAACATTTTCACTACCACTGAAATAAATTATGTTGTCCTCTCAGTATCCACAGGGGTGTATATCTTATATAAAAACATTGCCCATTATTTTGTGATATATTTATGTTGTGAAAATTCATTAATATATGTAAAATTTTATTAGTAATTGGTGTTTCAGTACATCATTCAAGTCCATCTAGAATTTCTAGTTCACTTAGTTTTGTGTGATGTCAATCGCCATTGCACTTGTACATTTTTTGATAATTCAGTCTTATGGCTTGTACATGAAAGATCATGTATTTTCTGACTGTGCCCATATGATAGATGCCTCCTCAATGATAATGATTTCATTTTTTAACTTCATGTTCTCTTTCATGTTTTTTTCTCGTTATGTTGTGTTTTTATATAATTGTATTAAATATTCTTATTTCATATTTAAGGCATGTATTTTTTCATTGTATCCTTATAATTGCATATTCTGGATAACTTTTATTGCTAAGACCTCTATATATTCAAGAATTCAGTGTATTTTTTCTTCTCACTATTTAAATTTCCTTTTGCAGATTCTCTTCCCCCCATTTCTGCCTTTTCATTTAATGTCACATAAAAGATTATTTGTAGGGTTGTATCCTATCTTTTCATAAAGGGCATGCTGTAAAACATGAAATTAAAAATTTCTATATTAATGTATAGTAATTAGTATTACACAAATTTAGTATTTAGTTATTAGCGGCTTACATATTATCCCAACACGTAGCACAGTTTCATAATTTTCGGCAGAAGAAAACCTGATTCGATGAATTTTCGGATTGCAACTTACAGTGGACCTGTTTACCTAAAGAGCTGTTATGTATTTTCATTGTATCCTTATAATTGCATATTCTGGATAACTTTTATTGCTAAGACCTCTATATATTCAAGAATTCAGTGTATTTTTTCTTCTCACTATTTAAATTTCCTTTTGCAGATTCTCTTCCCCCCATTTCTGCCTTTTCATTTAATGTCACATAAAAGATTATTTGTAGGGTTGTATCCTATCTTTTCATAAAGGGCATGCTGTAAAACATGAAATTAAAAATTTCTATATTAATGTATAGTAATTAGTATTACACAAATTTAGTATTTAGTTATTAGCGGCTTACATGTTATCCCAACACGTAGCACAGTTTCATAATTTTCGGCAGAAGAAAACCTGATTCGATGAATTTTCGGATTGCAACTTACAGTGGACCTGTTTACCTAAAGAGCTGTTATGTATATAGTTGCAGGAGCTTGGCAACTTCTACTTTGTTTGCAATACCACATAAATACCGGTTATTAGGCATTTATGTATATATATGTAAGATATAATAAAATATGAAAGCTGTTTCAAAAAAATAATTGATGACCTCAAAATTAACATTTTAAATTTGGTAATCTGCCCCTAAATTCATCTCTTCTCGCAGGTTCCAGACTTTTCTATCTTATGTAACGTTTTAATGCAGATACCTCTCGTCCAATCAAATTAATTCTAAACCAAAACTGTGAACTGAAACTTCAGCCTTCTTGCCATGAAAGTTCTATAACCTTCCCCCTTTTCCGCGTTAGCTCTCCTGCTGGTAAGACGTTTTTCCTCCATGCTGCTGCCGCTTACTTGCTTAAGATGACATCGTACTTTAAAACGGGAGTTATTCTGTTCAAATATTATGAAGAAATATCTTGTCTGAAAAAGGATTACTTGATATGCATGGAAAAAATAAAGATTGTGATTTTTCAAGATATGTTGTGCGAAATTGCGTTATCATGCTTTCCACTCTGCCACCTTCAAGCCACTACGGTCTTCTTGGTCATCTACGCAGTATCGTAAGCTGTTGGGAGGTCCACTGCTTTCATCTATCTATGCATTTGAAATCATTACATATATATATTTCTTTGAAAACATACAGACTCCCCGTGCACTACATATGTACAATACGGGGCTTACAGAAGTAAGTTAACTAAGACATTAAAAGTTACATGCATAAATAAAACAAACAAAAGCAGAGAACAGCAGTCTGGACTTCACAAAAACAGATAAGTTCACTGGCCAAGTCATTCCGAACATTTTCAAATCGTTCTGTAAGCATAATCTAGTGCCATCAAAAGTAGGGCATGAGAAAATCAAATGTTCCACATCCTAAGGCACTCTTTTTGAACATTCACATAAATTGTTTGATCTTAGATTAAAATGAAACATGTAACTCTCAAATTTACTGTGACCAGATAAAAACAAATTTATAGAAATTTGTATTAAATTTTAGATTTTGAAATTTATAGAAAGAAAAGACTGTGGTAAATAGAAGGAAAGAACTTTTTGGTGACCTCAGCATTACAAGATGAAATATATTCCTCATTCCACATAGCTAAAAGCTTCTTATAATGAAAGGACTTCCAATAGCTCTTTGGAATGCTAATGTTGATATCAATGGGTAAATATATGGCATCTTTAGCTAAGAAATCAGCTTTTTCATTTCCATAGAAACCATGATGAACATGCACATAAGCAAAGCAGATATAAATTCCTCTATTTCTAAGTAAACTAACAGTTACTAGGGTTGCGGTAATGAATTTATCGCAGCTGGTAATACTGTTCAAAAGTTGAAGAGAAGAAAGAGAATCGGAACAAATAAGGTACCTTGAGGATGTTGTTCCATGATCCATTTGACGGCAAGATAAATGCACAGAAGTTTTGCTTGAAAAACTGTGCATTCATTCCGTATACAGTGTCTAAGAAAACACACCTCAGAATGGCCTTCAAAAAGAGCAAAACAGAACAAAAAGAACATCTTTCTGCCATTTGTAAAGAAAACCACATGAAAACTCATTTCAGCAGTCTCTTTATAATCGCAGAAATTTATGGTTTCTAAAGTAGTAGGATGAGGGAAGATCAGTGAAGGGGACAATTCCATTAATACAGTCTTCCAAAGTATCGGTTGCCAATGGCTCGAAAATATTATTCTTATATGCAATTTCAAAATCAATAGGCGGAACTCCTGCAAGAACAAAAGTAGCCTCGTAGGTTAAGGTTCTATAACCACTAATAATACGAAGAAGAATTCTCCGTTGAATCTTTCTCAAATTTCTTTTATTAACCTTCTTGGCAGGAACATGTCCCCAAGCACGACAACCGTATGAAATGAAAGGTACAATACGCTGCTTATACATCAGTTTCTTAACATCGTAGCTTGCTCCAAAAGTATTTTTGGCAATTCGGTGAAAGTCATTACATTTTTTATTTTTTTCATTTAGAAGAAAGGAATTTAGTGTGCTTTTTCTATGTTAATTTTTCGTCAAGAATGACACCAAGATACTTAACATTTTCTACAAATTCCAATGGAGAATCATCGAGCATCAAAGGAGCAATATTTTGTTCATCAAACGTTCTGGGAACAAGTATAGCTTTACTTTTTGAAGGGTTGAAAGTGAGTTTATGAGAAATCACCCAAATGGAGACAAAATCTAAAACTTCTTCTGCTCTCAAAAGAATGTTGTTCAAAATCTTTCCTTGGAAAATTAAAAGTTAGTCGTCTGAAAATGCAATTTTTAAACAGCTGTCAAGATGACTTAAAATATCATTTATTATTATGTTCCAAAGAGTAGGTCTGGACACAGAGCCTTGAGGACAGCCTTTTTCTAGAGAATAAACCTTAGCTTCATTCCCAAGCTGAAGCTCAGTGGTTCTCTTGTTCAAGAAGGTTATAGGTATTATGTGGTATACCAGCATCTTTTAGAATTTTTAAGATAGATGGCCACCAAGCATTATCAAAAGCTCCTTTGAAATTCAAGAAAATAAGAACTGTAGTATACTTCATTTTCTTTCCACATTGCAAGATATTACAAAGGCAAATAATTGCAACTTCAGCAGACTTCCGAGGAGTAAATTCAAACTGAGAATCATTATAAAAACATTTCCGTCTCACATGCCAATTTATTCTCTTAATGAAGAGAGTTTCAAGATATTTTCCCAAAGTTGGCAAAAGACTAATGCATCTAATATTATCAAGATAAGCGTTCTTGTATCTAAAGTTTTAGGAATCGAAACAACCCGAGCCCTCTTCCATTGTGCTGGAAAAACTCCTGATTGCAAACAAAGGTTGAAAAGTCTGTGCAAAAATGTGCAATCCACCGCATGAAAGTGCGGTACAATTTCATTCGAAAGAGAGTCAAGCCCAGGTGATTCGTTCTTCTTGAAATTTTTAATGACACTGTTAACTTCTGAAGTAGAGAATGAACAGTCCATAAAAGAAATATAAAGTCCATCAGACTCAGTATGCATAGTTTTATGAGACTTTCTATTATTACGCACATTATCTCCTGGGAAATTCTTTGTCATTATAGCAACAACTGTATTACTCAAGCTCGAAGTAACACTGCCATCCGGGAGTTTAATTCCCGAAATCTCGATCCTTTTCGCAAAATTGGTCTTAACCCCCATACTTATATATATATTTCCAGACATTATGAACATTAATAGTTGAGAGAAAAAAAATGTATTTTGTAATTATAGCTTTAAGTACCTTCTTATTTAAGAACTGTTTACGTGGATGAGTTCTTTTTGTAGGTGTTGTAAAAAGTGCTGCCATACCAGATGATGCTTTGAAAAACATGCGACATTATCTAGTGGCACATACAGATTGTTGCAAAACCAAATTTAAAACATGGCTGCTGGAATGTGTGAAATTGACTTGCAGATATTTTTTGTACTCATTTTTGTAGTCAAGTTACTCTCCCTGCCATAACTGCTGCTTCATCATATATCTATCCAATAAATTTTGATTCAAAATTAAATTCTCTCACAATTTTGAAAACATGCTCGTATATTGCTATAGAAGAACAATTGGCCAAAAAACCTATAAATATTTCCTAGTGCTTGCCTTTATCATTGACATATTTGAGGCATGTAGATAATTGTGATTCATTTTTATTCTGTTATTTTGTCTAAAAGGTTTGAAACAAACTGACAATTTGCAATGTCTTTTCTTTTTCTTTAACAGTATTTGTGAAAACTTATGAAATGCAATTTATGAGGTCATTCTGTATAATACAGGGATGTGCTACGGAAATCTCTGCTTCTTTTAACTTATTATCAAGCCTAGCATCGTACAAGCTGATACTATTTAGCATTTTTGTATAATTTCCCTTATTTATTGAATCTGTGGACTCATCATGGCCTCCTAAATAGCAATTCTTATTTTGCCAAGAAGCATACACAATTTATCAATCATTCTAAAATTTCCCCTTTTTTTAATATGGCCTCATTGTGAAACTTTATAAATATTTGCATTTAGAGATTTGATTGCCCAAACATTGTAAAGCTGTAAACTATCTTTAATATGATAAAGTGATTTCTCTTGTCTTGGATGAATATTGATAACACATTCAAATTGCTAAATCCATCCTTAGTCCATATACTTGTTTTGCCAACTGCCAGCAAGTAATGAACAGCTTAGAAATATCATGCAAATTTCTATTTATTATCCTTATATTTACAACATAAATTGGTTAAAAAAAGGCCAAAGTGTGTTGTTGTATTTAATGGAAATTCAGAGACGGCCATGAATGGAAAATTAACCGGTCTTTAAATCAGCTTACTTGGTATCTTTTAAATTATTTTGTTACTGATATGGGGGATTTGGTTATTTCATCTTTAGTCCAAACAATTATTCTGTTATTACCAAACAGTTAAAAAGAGGCCAAGAGAAAAACTTTTCTTTAACATAATAATTACTATGTTGTAAATTTTCTTGAATTATTTTGCTACAAGTTTCTAGAAAAGATATTCCCCTTAGTGTTACAATAAATTGGCATATTGATCTTTGAAAGCAGTGATAATTGAGCCTTAAGCGCAGTACAAAGCAAACCTTACAGAAATGGCATCTAGCATACTAAAAGTGGTTAAATTGCTTAAAACTCAGTGGCAAACAATGAATATTCTTTTGTAGCTCTATGACACAAGAGCATGCAAGAGTGTCAAAGTCATACATTCCTTCACACAGCAGGAAGGGAGAAGTTTGCCTTTCATGTTGTAAATATTTCATGTACTGAGAGCAGATGCTCATCAGCATACACAGTCCTTTTACGATGAGGGATGGGTAGATAGACAGGAAGTGACATTGTAAAACTCATTTTGTTTTGAGTATTGGACTCTAAAATTGATGATTCAGTGCATAGCTAGAGATTAAAACTAGTTAATAAGGATTTTATAAACCCTCTGAAGGGCCCAGGTTTATGGATCTGTCATCGAAGACCTGTATTTAAAGAGCCATTATTAACTAAATATATATATTTATCTATTTCAGTCTCCATTTTTATAAACTTACATTCATCAAGATGGCATTTATATTATTAATGAAAATAAGAAAGCAAAATATCTTAAATTATAAGCTAATATATAACAAGTGGCAAAAAATCTCATGATTGGATAAAGCTGGTCATGGCGCTCAGACTGTTAAATGATTAGATTTAAATAATAATTCCTTTTTCACAGTTTTAAATTTATAGGCATACACTGAATGTCCTAAAGCTTTGCCACTGTTTGTTTGCGGTTGTTCAAGAATATTTTCTGCTGATGAAGGCACAGCTTCAATAGATGTCCCAGTTGTCAGAAAGCATGTATTAAAGAATTATTAACTGAGATCAGGGGTTTGATTATTAAAGCAAAACATTATGCATAATGAAATCATTGTTATATAATCAATGTATCATTAAAATCATATCAAAACACTTGAGACATTTTTATGATGGCCGCAACTTTAGGAAATCTTGTTTGTTAAAGTCTCTCTTTTTTTTTTTTTTTTTTTTTTTGGATGGATAGCTCTTAGAAATATTCCACATTAATCTTAAAGTGTTGGCCCATCACTAAACATTACAGAAATTTTTTCTTTTAATTAAAGCATCAAGTGATTGAGATGTTATCATTCTCTGATGCTTCAATAATCTCTCATGTTTCTAGTCAGCCCTTCCACAATGACATTTCAAAATTGCAATTTCTGATGTATAATATCACATGCTCCATGATCCAAAATGTTGAACTTTTCGTGTGTTCAGGTAAGTTTTTACTGGACATTCCGAATTATTTGTTTAATGCTTTTTATCATGGTTGGTGATGAAGTAGTTATAGCTAGACCAGAATGTAATGAGGTTTCAAAGAGTTCTTTTCGAAGAAATTTCAGCTTTTGGAAATCTACAGGTCTAATGATAGGGTAACATTTTAATTCAGCTCAAGAAATCTAGCTGATTGGCCCTGAAAATTATTTCTTTGAAATAAGTTACTAAAAGTGGTACCACAGTGAAAGAAATGTCTCCACTCTTTCGTTGAAAAATGTATTTTCGCTGTGTATATGTTTTACTAGGTTAACTTGTAGAGTCATTAGGTTAATTGGAAGCAGAAAAGATGAAAAATATGCAACCGCCTTCACTGGGAATCGAACCACAGACCACTGGAATACCGGCCCAGCGTGCTACTGTTACACCACGAAGGCACGCTAGGGAAGTGGGAGAAATACCTTATAAGCTGATTAGTACAAAACCTGTCTTTTTATAAAACTTCATATGTTTTATATTTCTATGTTAAACTGGCTCACATTCACATTACATGTGGTAAAATCACAAAAGTCCAGTTCAACTAGTTTGTTCAATCACTGAAAATAGATTCTAGGATGAATAAGGAGTATACTTTATGGCTCCAATCATTTGGTCATTGGTGAGCTTCATGTAATGCTTCATTTAGGTCATCTAGTCTGTTTTCATTTCTCTTGCTTAATAAATCTAGTGTTTATTGGTAAAATTTTATGGTCATTGATTTTTTTTCTTTTCCAGGAAGTGAAGTGGATTCCCTTTGGGATGGATTTATGTTACATGTCAGATTACATTTTCAGCTGCAATTAGTTTTTCTTCCACCTATGTGTAAAGTTATGGATATTAAGCAATACTTATTCTTTAAAACTGAAATATCTGTTAATATTGTTGGGAGAAAAACATTATGAAACGTTTAGTCTAAATGGTTTTACCAAGACTAATAGTGGATGAATAGCAGTTGAGATGTGCCATATTGCTTCTGAAGGAAGTATCTGTAAAAGAAATTGTTAATAAATGTATAAAAAGCAATTTTTGATATATATATCACATTCTGCGTTATATGGCTTGACATTTAAATTGTGCAATTATAGTAATCAATTTTATGTAAGCAAAAGGCAAAAATATTTGTTTCATATAATACAGCTATAAGATATTAGTTAAATATTTCATCCTTTTTAACTTGTCAGCTTAAATTAATTGCTTAATAATAATTATTGAATAAGCAAATTAAATATTTTATATGGTGGTCAGATGTTAAAAATTCTAAAACTGTATTTTATGTACTATTTAGAAATAAACGTTTTTATCTTAATGTAAAAAAAAAGTTTTTTTATTCAAAACAAAAACTGTTTGCAAGCTGAATATCAAAAAGACATTTTTATTCATCTTCTAAATATGCAAGAAAAATTGCTAATTGCTATTCCAAGTAAAGCTCATAATCATGACTATATACAATTTCCTGATTAGTGAGACAAACAAAGTTAGAGGAAAGGTTAACTTCTATATTTTTGTCTGGAATATTAATTAAGGGATATCTCAAATATACTCACATTTTAAGAGAATTTGATCTACAATCTCCAGAAATACTAGACAGATTTTAATAAAATTTGGTATGAACATAGGTTGATATAATACAAACAAAATAAACATTCACCAGTTATAATAGACACACATGTTCATGTGTAACACTCATGGGAGTCTGAAGGTCTGAAACAGCAGTTGCAGAAGACACAAAAGAAATGGTTAATAGGGGGTATGGTCCCCTCTTACAGCCCTCACAGCGTGGTGTCATACTGGAAATAAGGCAGTTCATCAGTGCCTGTGGCACTTGGGTCCACTCATTCAGCAACGCTGTTTTCAGTTCCTGAATAGTTCTCAGAAAGGAGTTGAAAGTTGCAATTGCCCTTCCCAGAGCATCCCAGACATGCTGCATACTGTTGAGGTCAGGAGATCTGGCTGGCCAATCCATACGTCAAATATCCTCTTTCCCGAGAAATTTGTTACCCAAAAGTGCTCTACGTGGCCTCGCGTTATCATCCTGTAAAATGAACTCGGGGCCCACTGCACCCCGGAAAAGGCAAACATACGGCTTCAAAACCTTTTCCCTATACCTCACAATAATCAAACAGCCTTTGTCAAAGACATGGAGAGGTGTGCAGCCATTCAACATAATGCCTGCACAGACCATTACACTGCTATAATTGTTGATTTCACGAACATTAGAGGGTAAGTAGCGGGTCCCTGGCTCTCTCCATACGAAAATACGACGAGAATCGGTGTTTAGGCTAAAACGGGACTCGTCAGTGAACAGAATGTTTGCCCTTTGCTCTGTACCCCAATCACTATGCTGCTGCACCATGCTAATCGGACTCTCCTGTTCATAGACGCGAGAAGGATGCAAACAGCCAGTGTTCTGGCAAACAACCCTTTCTCAGTCTTTTGGAAACAGTCACCCTTGTTACATGGGTTTCTGCAGCTGCATACAGGTCCTGAGAGAGTTGTGAAGCTTTAGCCCCTCTGTTACGCCTCGCTAAACTGGACAAATAGCGATCTTCTCTGGCCATCATGGCTCTTGGACAACCTTGGCCAGACTTTCTCTCAATGGATCCAGTATCCTGGAACTGTTTCCATAGGTTCCACACGACGCTGGATGTTAAATTAAACTCTCTGCATATCTGGACTTGCGATCAGCTTGCCTCTAACCTTCCCACCATTCTCCACCTCATTCCATCATCTAAACATTGGTGGTTACTCATTTTTACTGTTACGATGTGAATTTAACCAATTGCTGCAACATTACACAAGGAAATTCACCGAGGTGTGCTAGCGAGCGCAATTTGTCTTATCCTCTACGTGCTTATAAAACCTGTTTTTCTGCTGGCTCCGCCTACACACACGTGTATGCTTACATATATGCCATACAAAAGTTGCGTTTTTATCTAGGAGCAGTGGTTTTTTCTTCAGTTCAGGTCTTTTCATGCAATTCGATAAAATATGCAAATTCTCTTAATTTATTTCACCAGTGTAATTTTGTAATTTGCTCAAATATAAATAAAGGGCTACATATTTTAAATTTATCATTCTGTTCCTTTTATATAATGCAAACTGTACCATCCATTGGTGAAAATCTATTTTTCCTTGCCCAAAAAACTGTTCCGTGATTAGTTTTATATATAAATTGCACATAGATATGCCAAATTATGCCTAGAGAAAAAAATTATGATTTTCTGAAAAATGCTGTAAGATTTAAGGAAATAAAATTTGTAATGATCTTTTTCAAATAATCTGTATAACATAAAAGAAAATTCAAAGAAAACAGACAAACATTTTTCTTAAAAACGTTTATTTTCTATATTTTTAAATGTTAAGTTTCAATTTCATATGAACACAGTTCATACTACAAGAATCCACATTTTTAATGAGAAGTTGTTAAATACACTATTACAAAAGCTCTGTAATAAATCAAGAAAAGGTTAAAAGTCTAAAGTGAGTTGAAAGGTCCTTTTTAAAGAAACCATTTCAAGAAGATGCTTCAAAGTTAATCCAGACACTATATTTCATTTTTTTAAACTATTCGCTGTATGCTTTTAACCTTTTGGTGAAATTACTAATATATGACAGCAAATATAATTTTTTTCCATGAAATGAATAAGATGTATCTGATATACAAAAATGTAAAAAAAATTCTAAATATCTACAATGCAAAAATTTATAAAAAAAAAGGTATAAATTAAGCTTTTAAATATAAATGCATCACACCTTTGGTATTACAAATGAAAAGTGATCTTTAATGTATTAGTCAACAAACTTACTCAGAAAAATGGAAAGGATTTAATTAACTAAAATATTTAAACTATATACTTTACACCAAAAAATTCCAAAATAAAAGTAAACAATTGTAATCATATTGTAAATAATAAAATTTCTAGTAAGATAGTTGAAAGTTAACAAATTTTAGAATTTAAGAGAATGTTACATATATTCCCCAATTAAAAAATTTCAATGCTTTTGAAATTATGAAATTTAATAACATTTCAGATTTTACTTAATTTTTTAAAGTTTGTTTTAAAAATAAAGTAAAATTAAGTATGATTGTGAATTAACATAAATATTACAAGAAAATTACATTTCTTGAAATTCAATATACTCAAATACATTTTAAATATATAGTCCTTGCAGCAAAATAAACTTTTCAATCTACATCTTTAGATTGTATCTAAGCCTCAAATAAATTTTTGCAGCTGCAAAAAAAATCCATACTCAATAAAATTTCAGCAATTATGATTCATGGATTCTTATTTAAGAATTAATTCAAAATAATGTCTTTAATAAAAAAAATAAGGACTCTTTTTTTAGACACATCTTTCCATAATAATTTCTATTTGAGAGGTGTAACTGGAGCTGACCCTTCAGTGCTTGTATTAAGAGCACTAAATATAGTTGAGAGTTCTTCAATCAAAGTTTCGGATCGATATGCCACTCGAATGTCAGGGACATTTGTGCGTGTTATGTCATTGCCAGCTATACCTTCTTTCATGCAGTTTTGTCCAAGCCAGTGCTTTTTTACCTTAAAAAAGAATGGTGTTAAAATAAGAAAGCAATCTTCTAAAGAAGAAATTATCTATTTTTTTTTAATACAGAAAAGGAATTTACTAATTAAGATACCACTTTAGCTACAAAAATGTTTTAAATATTTTTTTTTAAATCACTACTGACATCAAAGATTTCAATGATACTATTTTTAAAAGTAAAATATAGAGCATTATATATTTAATCCAATGTAACATTATAATCATGTTACATTTGAATATCATGATTTAAGGTACTTAACCATGCCATATCAAATTTATACTAATAACCAACACAAGAAAGAAAAGTAATGCACATTCCAAATCCTTAATGGTTAATGCTCAAAATTATTATAATAATATATACCAACAGATTGAGGCTGTGTCGTATTTACAGTATGTTCATAACAATAATATGTGAACCTGGATTAAAGGAATAAAAGTTTAAAAAGATTCACAAAAATTGAAGTTATAATAATTTATTACTGAATTCATTTTTATAATCTTTCATAGAAAGAAAAATTTTCAAAATGGTCCTCTAAGTGCAGTGAAGGAGTCTAGGACTTGTTGAAGAACACAGATGTCTGTTTGCATCTCCTCCAATGACTTTTCTATTGAAACATACCCAGTCTTTATTTCCAAAATTTAATTCATGTTAATTATCCTTTTCAAACATACTGCATTCATTCTTGAGTTCCTTTCCATTTGAAAATGTCCTCTTGAATGGCTAAGGAATAACTTTACAAATTTGAAATCATTTAAGGGTGTTTCATGTTTTTTTTTAAACATAATTTTTTGAACAAAATATAAGCATTAACTCCAAACCCCAAAAGAACAATTTTTGCTACTGTTCAAAACTTTTGAGTCAAAATAACAGGAAGCAGCATAATGATCTGCTTGACCGATGCTATTTATATACGTAATGCAATTTGGTGTTTTATCACGAGAGCTATAAACATGTAAAATCTGATGAATCACATAAAATCACCACAACTACAGCCTATTAAATCATATACATTTTTTGCTGCATTTCATTTAAATTTATTTCCTCAAATTTCATTAGAGATACACTATTTTCTCATTCAATTAATTCAGTTCTCACTTAGTAGTAAGGCAAAAATACATAAAAACTCAAAACATCTTCATCAGAAATTGTAAAATACAGAAAAACATAACACCAAATACAGTTAAAATATTTTTACAACTAAAATTAGAGTTTTTATGCTAAAACAGCAATTCGACCAACAGATAAGAAGACAGATTTTTCAGTGCACAAAATTGAGTTTACTTTTGGTCCCACTCACCAAAAAGATATTAAAATTTGTGCACAAACTGACTTAATTCACTATTCTATTAAGATTTTCAAATGTAAACAAATGATGGCTTTTTTAGGGTTAGTACCATTTAAAAGTTGTTGATAACTCTACAACTATTGCATGCAGATTAAATAAAGGCATATAAACCTTAATTGGAACATCAGAACAATGTAATTCAATCACTTTAAAAGCAAAAAATGCACAATTTCCCAACATATAACAATAAAAAAACTGAGTTCACCAACACAGGTAACAGAGTGGGTGTATACAGTCAAAAGACGTTAATCCGGACTCGTCGGGACTTCGGCGATTCCGGATTATAGATCATCAGTTTAAATCTCGTAAGATGGCATGCAGAAATTCTAAAATTAAAAATATGAAACCTTAATTTATGAAATAAAGAATTATAATCTAAAGGGTATCAAAATTTACAAAAAAAAAAAAAAAAAAAAAGCTTAATATTTGTTTACTTTATTAAACATTTCTTTCAATGTAAGTTGTTTAAGTTGCTTTGTTTTATGTGATAATACTTTCTCTTTAATTCCATAAACAGACACTATTTCTTGTTCAGTTACAAAGTTCCGCTGTTCAAATTCCGTTAATTGTTGTGCCGAGAATACCGACTAACTTGTCAATCGAAATTTTTTCGTTTTCACTAACCTCTCTGTCACATTCTTCATGTCTTTATCCATTTTTTGCAGCAATTCCACTTTTTGTTTGATGGACATCGAAACATACTTTCGTTTTGTACGATCCTTTGGGAGCTCCAGAATCGGAAATTTTATTTGACATAATCGAAAGTTCAAGTTTACTTTTATAAAATTGCTCTTACAGTCTGCAAAAAATAATAAGCCGGATCCAATTCGAAGATTAAGGAACAACGCAATCATCAACATTAACTGAAATAGATAATTAGATAATTTTAGATTATACCGTCCGTTATACATTAAACGCGCACGTGAAAACATATTCTGCACTTGCGCACACGCATATGCGCAGTGATAAAAGGTTTTATGCGCACGCGTAAACGCCTATGCGTATGTGTCAACGCATGTGTCGCGCATGTTCACTGGATGCAAGCTTTAGCTCGCGAAGCTAAACAGATATTAATTCTCGACACCATAAGTAAATAAATTATATGGCAATAATGAAGGGAATGAATGGTCAAACATATTTTCCTGGATGCAGACACATTTTCCCAAGCAAGAATAAAGGCTGTACTGCCATTTCGACTTTCAGTCACATTTTAATCTCATGAGGTGATAATTCGAACACAATCTTAATATAAAACACCTCTTTCTTGAAAAAAAAAAAAAGAATAGCCACGTTTTCATTTTTGAAAATTCCAGGTTGTGAAATCACAAGCAGTGAGGGGATAATTCACCGCCACTGATTAGATGAAAAACATGATCGTGTGAGTGGTGGTTGTAAAGATAATTTTAATTATTATCAGGAGAAAAGCGAAACCAAACTTGATAAGATATATTTTATAACTGAAGACTAAAAGTTCCTCAAAGTTCAAATTGGTTAACTGTTACAAGTTACTACAAGCTATGTACATCTACCTACAAACTATTCGCATTTACCTAAAAATGATGTAAATAGCTGTTACCTACAAGCTATTTACATCATTTTTAATTGATTGTTCAAAAACATCCTCAGAATGCCCATAACAGATTACAGTACATTCTGACCAAAGATATGCCTACAAGTATAAAAAAATAATGGCATCCAATTTTGCATAATTAACAAAATCTAAATAAAATACAGCTGTTTGTTAAATGCTGGAATAAGCAGATTAAAAAATTTAACCACTCTCATATTGTTTTAATGGCCAAAAATAATTTAATTTTGCACTGTTTTAGCATAAATATTCCAGCTGAGTTCAAAATAGATGCATTTTTCAATGTATTTTTGATTGCTATCTGAATTATTCATTAAAAACTGATTAGGTTTTCATCAGAAAAATTTTAGATCATCCTATAAAAAATCTTAATATCAACTTAATTTCTCATTTTCAGTATTCTGAAGAGGTTGTTTAAATTATAAGTAAAAGATTTAATTTATCAGGTGGCCACACTATTCAGGAAATAGTGTGGAAATATTGCTGGAAAGAATAATTTGCACAAAAGAACCTTCTGATATGAATTTATACTCAAAGCAAAAAGAATTAAACCAACAACTTAATAAAGTTAAAAATAATTTTTAATAGAATTAAATATCAAATCTGTTCTTACTGAAAGTGGGAATCCACTCATGAGTACACTATTTCGGGCTAGTTCACACATATCACAACTACTCAGTTTCCAAACTTGTGCTGCAATACTATATTCTTCCATTAGGGGTTCCTATAAAAATTTTTAAAAATAAAAAACCCCATTTTTTTAAATCAAAAAATTTTATAAGAACATAAAAATGCATAGTATGACTTAACACATTACTAGTCAATGACAAGCCAACATAAAATATTACAGCAAAATAAATTTTTATTGTGTAGCTTGTTAATAGGCATCCAAATGAATAGCAGTCTATATTTTACCGAGAAATAAATCACGGTGATACCAGACCATAGATAATGAATGCAATAAATATTCTTGTGCAATTTAGATTTATTTAAAAATGTGATACAAAAGATCCATTCAAAATTTTGTTTGTTTTTCTTTAAAATGCATACAAGAAATTAGATGTCAGAACACAATGTCTGTATAAATTGAAAATGAAGGTAAAGGGTACAAAAAAATTGCTCTAATGTCTTGCATATTTTCAGATGTAAATTGCTAGCTCTAATATCTTTACTGGATAATAATATTTTAGTAAAGTGCTAGGTAGGCACTATGCACATCACCTTGTCAGATAATATGAAACAGTAACAGTTGAAATATTAATTGCATCTAAACACATCATTCTTTTTGCATTTATACTTGATAAAATCTATTTTCATGGTATCTTAAAGTACTTATTTGGAGTCATTTTGAGAAATGAAAAGAAAATTTAAAAACATATATTGCACAAATGATACAAATTTTCAATATATATTCCTTTTTGTTTCAAAGATAAAACTTACTTTAGTAAAATGGAACTGCAGAGGATCATCTGTAGATAACGATATACATAATCCTCTACTAAGATAATCTGGAAGAGGATTTCGATGATAGTTCAGAAACAAAGAATTATTACTAAGTGGAGACATAGCTATACCAATTTGTGATAGGTAATACAAATACTGCAACACAGGTACCTAAGAATAAAAAAATGGGGTTATCAAATATCTTTGATTTAATATTTTCAGCTTAAATCTAGAAAAACATTTGGAAATTTTAATATAATGTAAAAAAAAAAAAATCAATATAATTACTACAGTCAAAAGTCGTTAATTCGGACACCCATAATCCGGACCTCAAAGCTACAAAATTTCTGCGCACGCATCGCGTTCACGCATGCGCATAGGCGTTTACGAGTGTGCGTAAGACCTTTACGGCTGCGAATATGTGTGTGCACATGACCGTTTAATGTGTAATAGATGGTACAAGCTAAGCTAAAATTATCTAATTCAGTTAATGTTGCAGATTGCGTTGTTCCTTAATCTTCTATTTGGATCCGGCTTATTTTTTGCAGACTGTTAGAGCAATTTTATAAAAGTAAGCTTGAACTTTCGATTATGTCAAATAGAATTTCCGATATATATTTACTAATATGTAAAAGATCTACAAAGCGAAAGTATGTTTTGAAATCCGAAATCTGTTTATCAATTTCACACCGCAGGGCTCAATGAATTGGAAGTTGATCTGTCAGCACTATCCTTATCTTCAGGGCAGATGTTTTTTATTTTATTTAGCTTATAATTCCTTACTAAATGTAGTATTTGATCTCGATGTACTCCATCTTTGATATGATTTAAATCAAGTTCCTCGTCATTATAATTTGCTTCTGATATTGAAGAAAGTGACCCAAAGGTTATTAAAAACGAAAATATTTTGATTGACAAATTAGTCGGTATTCACAACACAGCAATTATAGGACTTGAACAGCGGAACTTTGTAACTAAACAAGAAATTATGTCTGTTTAATAGAATTAAAGAGAAAGTGTTATTACATGAAACGGAGGAACTTAAACAACTTACATTGAAAGAAATGTTTAATAAAGTAAACAAATAAATATTAAGCTTTTTCTTTTTGTAAATTTTGATATCCTTTAGATCATAATTGTTCTCTATTTCATAAATTACTCTTTCATATTTTAATTTTGTAATTTCTGCATGCCATCTTACCAGATTTAAACTGATGATCTATAATCCGGAATCGCCGCAGTCTTGACAAGTCCGGATTAATGACTTTTGACTGTACTATGAAATATTTCAAGTGTTCAAAGTTTAAAAACAGTAATTAAGTGTGCTTAGTTAATGATTATGAATTGTATGAAAACAAAATCCTGAGGAATATATTAAAATTTTTAAGCTACATAAAAATAAATATCGACTTAATTCACTGTATTGTTAATATCAATAATTCTGCAGATTGCCCCTTTTTTATTTTCTTCAAGTAAATTCTCTCTCAATTTTATATATGGCATACTGCAATTAAAATTACACTTTTTGTACAGAAATAAATACTTTTGTTTCCATTTTGCTAAGAAAATAATATTTTTGAAGGTAAACAAACAACAACAAAAAATAATAATAAACTGTTGAAAATACCTTTCATTTAGCTTCCAAATTACAACTACATTGTTTATCAGTGCAATAAAGTGTGCTTTTTAAAAAACATGGTTTTCTCAATAATACTTGAAGTACAAATAAGTCTTATTAGGAAAAAAAAAAAAGCACCACCAGTAAGTTATGGTTAAAATTGTCCAATGTTACATGTCATATGATAAGTCTGGACATCTGCTAACAACATAATCTTGAAATATTAGCAATTTTGTATCAGCATCATATATTTTTTGTGTGAAAACATTGACTTTTGAGTTGAATGAGCATCATTTACAGGAACTTTTGATTTTTTTCTTTAATTTGTAGAAATCTGCAGTTGAGGTGCATTTATTACTTATTAAAGCGTATGGTGAGGCTGCTTTAAGTAAGAGAAGTTGTCGTGAGTGGTTTCAAAAGTTTAAGAACAGTGAATTTGTCGTTGAAAATAAACACCTGAGCAGAGGGATAAAGTGTATGAAGATGCAGAATTGGAAGCATTACTGGATGAAGATTCATGTGTAAAGCAAGTAGAACCTGAACTTACATTAGGAGTGACGAAACAAGCAATTTCACTTCATTTAAACCATTTTCATTATTTGGAATGATTCAAAAACAAAGAAAGTGGGTTCTACATGAAATGATGCCAAGAAACGTTGAACGGCGATTTTTTGCATGTGAAATGCTGTTTCCCAAAGGTATAAACAAAAGGGTTTTTGCACTGCATAATCTTTAGTGATGAAAAATGGATCCACTACGATATCACAAATAAGAAATCATGGGGACCACCTGATGCTTCAGCATCGATAGCAAACTGAATATTCATGGAAAAAAATCATGTTGTGAATACGATGGAATCAATTTGGTATCATGTATTATGCTCAAACCGAATGAAACCATTGCTGTGTCTCTCTACCAAATACAATTGATGAGACTCAGCCGACCACTAAAAGAAAAATGAAATGCATCCACTACTATTCCAGACATATCAAAATTATTCTCTTGTGTGATAATGCTCATCCACATGTTGCGGCGGCCATCAAAACCTATTCAGAAACACCCAAATGAGAAGTTTTCTCTCTCCTGCTGTATTCACCAGACGATGATCCTTATGATTATTACTTGTTTCAATTGATGATGCATGGTCTGTGTCAGCAGGTGGACAGCCTCCGAAAGATGAAGTGTTGTGATATTGTGATACTGTTTTTTAGGCTGGTCTCAGTGTGAACTTATCACGCTCTTACCAGCACCTCCGATGCTTCTTAAAAAGGATTCCTCGCATATGAGACCTTATTTGGAATGAAGTGTTCTTCTGATATAGTATCAAATGCTTCTAGAAAGATTGGAAATATTAGTGACTAGCGATGAAAAATACTATGAATAAAATATAACAGACTGTTCTTTCACAATAAATGACCATTTCAGATAAAAAAAGGTGGAGACTTATTTGTACTCCTGATATTTTGACACAGTTTAATGGCAAAATGTTCTACTGAATGGTAATAATCAATTAAAGGGCCCTTCACACCATACTGTATGTACCTTAACCAAAAAATTTTGAACCTCTCCAACAGCATGCCATCATCTAAATCAAAAACAGATAATAAAATTCTGTAGTAACATATAAACTAGAATTATGTATGAATTTCTTTTTCACCATTAAAACAAAACAAAATTTACTTAAGGTTAGCTGTTACAAAATAAACAGCATTATTTTTACTTAACGGCAAAGGCATACAAAATATATGTTTCATTTTTTGCAGATTTGTATTTCAGCAAAGTATGATTTTTGGAATTCAGAATCATTACAAGTCCTTTCTACATATCAAACATATAGATTAAAAAAAATAAAATTAAAAAGCTGCACTAAAATTAAATTTATATTTTTCTGATATTATTCAAATGATTTAAATTGAAAGTTCCTTTTATTCCATTTTATGTCATTATTAAACAAAGATTACCTTTCTCAGCAATAGTCCATGGGATATGTTTTCACTAAGAAGAAATCCACCAACTAAATGCTGAACAGGGCCAGCTTCTCCACAATGTGGCCGTAATACAAAAATGTTCATTTTTCTTTCCCTTTAAAGTAAAGAATAAGTTATGCTTAATGCATTAATACTGAATTAATATACATTATATAATTAAGATTTTTCTTAAAGAAAAATTAAACAAATGAGAGACTTGTAAAGCCATCATAACGCATACATAGGACTACTGTTTACAGCCTTGCTTATAACAAAATGGAATAACATCACACAGCTTTGTTTAAGATGTTGATTACTACCAGCACTGCATCCATCATACTGTCCCAAGAATTTATATTTTATACGAAGTAAGATACTCTTCACAGAAAAAGGAGCATACGGTAGATTCCAATATTCATGACAGTAATTGTATCTGTCTATTATGAGAACTACTCTCATCAGTATATTTAACATTAACTAACTTTTACTTTTCCATTGACCATTTTCAACAAACAAACATTTACTAAACAGTGTACTTTAATACCAATAATGAATAAGCCTGATTTTACAACATAATCATTAAGATCTTCAACTACATTTCATCCAAATAATTCTCAATGAGCAGTTGAATTTTTTGTGTAGAACAATATAAGCTATTTATCTCTTTTGCTGTTGCATTTGGGAAAAAATAATTAAAATTTGGAACCTGCCTTCAATGGAACAGCAAAATAATTTTTAAATTATGGAAACTGGCATCAATAAATTTGTGTGTTAATAGACACAATATGGACTTTATTTGAAAATGGATAGGCAGTGCAACTTCAGAAATTATATTTTCTATATGTTATATCTGTAACATTTGTCTGTTGATTATGTAACTAAATAAAGAGTGATGTGTTATTTTAAACTTCTCCTTTCCCATTAGAATGATTGGTAAAAGTTTGGTGGGATCTTCACCAGCTTTCTTGGTTGAGAAAATTTTACAATCAAATAAGATGTTTTATTTTCATATGAATAAGCAAAATAATTTTATTTACAGGCAACACACCGCCAACTGCCTTTGGATCGAGAAGAAAGGCATACAGTTTTAAATTTCAAAGTGGCAACAGCAACACAAATAATTTTATAATACCCTTATGAGATTAAATGTATTTTACTCATTAATTTAAAATTGCTATATACAGAAAAACGTTACATGTTACACACCTTTTAATAAAATAATCATCTAAAAATCACATTCAGTTAAATGAGGTTTTAATGCTGTTTCAGCTTTTAACAAATGAACTTATCTACAAGTTGCTATATGTAATTTACAATTTTGATTAACAAATCTTAAAGAAACAACATTAATTAGGCATGCAATTATCATTTGCATATTTTATACATCATTTTGTATTCTCTTTTTGACTGTATTTGTTAAATACTATAAAATAGTTTGAAATTAAGTGGTCCATTTTATTATCATTTAATGGATTACCATGGAATTTCACATATACTTAGGATATATATTTTTGTTTATTATTTTGGAAAATTTAGTATTCAAAACATTTTTCACATGCTAGTGTTCTCCTGAGCTCCATTTCAACTTTTGAACTTTAGTCTTTTTACTCTTATTTTTAAACAACCATGCCTACTCATATTTGCAAGTTTAATACATTACTTACCAACATCAATTTAAATTTTCATGGTAAAAATTTATATATACATTTCTCTTTCTCTCTATATATGTATATGTTACGGTGAAACACCGAATTCTGGAGAATGTCGACTTTCACCGGTGAATGTCAACATTCACATCTCTTGGTGTATGTCCGAAATATTTTCCAAATACTCTTATTTCTGACAACCGGTCAATGTCGACATTCACCATGTACTAATGGTGAATGTTGAACATATAACAATATTATATTTTCTTCACCGTAATTCAGTTGTGAATAAACGCACTTGAAATAAGAACTTAAGAACATGAGAACCTAAAACACACAATACATTCAAAATGAGAAAGGAAAATAATAGAAGTTAAAAACGTTCTAAATGAGAAAATAAAATAACAGTAATAAAAAACTTACTAAATTATGTCATTCAAATCTTATTTATTGAAACAACTTAAACTATTATGGCACTTTATGACCTCTCTTTTCGACTTTCACCAGAGCATATCTGCGACTGTCAACATACACCGGTGAGGGTCCGAATATACAAGAATGTAGTGCAATATTCGATCTTTCACCGACGTATTTGGTGAATGTTGATATTCTCCGGTGAAAGTAGACATTCTCCAATTTCGGTCTTTCACGGTAACATATATACAAATACATATACATGCAAATTAATATAAAATTTAATAAAAATCAAATAATTTAATATTTGTTAAAAGTATACATATCAAAAAAGTTAAACATAAAAAAAAAAAAAAAAAATCAAGCATAGGACTCAAAGATCTTACTTTAAAAAATATGATTTCAATATCTCAAAACATTTTTACTCAGATTTTCAGAAATAGTTTTTTATTTAACTGAAGTTAATTTATTATCCAAAACTAAAATCATTTAACTGAAATATTAAAACATTAAAAAATTGAATTAATACTGAAGATATAAGCAATATTATAATCATTACCTTCGGAAACAATTGAGAACACACATGTTAGCATACATATAATATAAATAATAGTTGTACGGTGGATTCTCTTCTTCTTTCCACTGAGCAGGAAGAGTTACATCTTTATCAAACATTGGATTTTCAGGTTTTGATTCATCATCAACTGAATCAAATCCAGTTACCTAAATTAACAATTAAATAATATAAATAAGAATTCAATTTTTAATAACTTTAATATAATTTTAAAAAATAACCAAATTATGAAATAAGTACATTAAATCTCATTATGGTAAAGTATAATATTGTGCCTAGTTTTGAATAAATAATAAAAAATGAAACAGAAGCAATGCAAATAATAAAATAATTTTTCAAAACAAAAATTTTTAATTTATTTAAAGCCGCTTTAGATAAGAAAATTTAAGGTACTCTTCTGTTATCAGAACCAGATTCAGAAATGTATGTATACATACATGTATTTATAAATGCATGTGCTCATGTATGCATGTGTATATTCTGTACATACATATATAGTATGTGTATATGTTACGGTGAAACACCGAAATCTGGAGAATGTCGACTTTCACTGGTAAATGTCAACATTCACATAGTTGCTTGGTGTATGTCCGAAATATTTTCCAAATACTCTTATTTCTGACTTACACCGGTGAATGCTGACATTCACCATGTACTAATGGTGAATGTTGAACATACAAGAATATTATATTTCCTTCTCCGTAATTCATTCACGAAAAAATGCACTTGAGACTCAGAATATGAATTTAAGAATATAAGAACTTAAAACACACAGTACATTCAAAATGAGAAAGGAAAATAATACAAGTTATAAACTTACCAAATTATGTGATTCAAATCTTATTTATTGCAACATCTTAAACTATTATGACACTTTGAATTGCACAAGAGGCCCTTGCTTTTACAACTGCATTTTTTTTTTTTTTTTTTTTTTTTTTTTGTAGAACCCTTCCTTTTGCAATGACAGCATTTACATATACTCCTCTCTTTTCGACCTAAACCAGAGCATATCTGTGATTGTCGACATACACCGGTGAGGGTCCGAATGTACAAGAATGTAAAGAAATATTCGATCTTTCACCGACGTATTTGGTGAATGTTGACATTCTCTGGTGAAAGTCGACATTCTCCAATTTCACTCTTTCACGGTAACATATATACACACATATACCCATATACATATACATGTGCATACATACATTTCTGAATCAGGTCTCGATAAGAGAAGAATACCAAATTTAAATTCCTTCAGCCAAGATGATTTTTCATATATTTATATATGCACTTAATATTATGAAAATTTGTCAAACTTAGTTTCAGACTAATTTGTATTGAACATAAACAGTAAAAAGTTTCTTTAGTCTTTTTTTTTTTTTTTTTTACTCCTGTACAAAATTCAGTATAGTAAGATCTACCAGAGAAGGCTTATAAAATGAAAACTCATCTTTTAGTGGCAAAATCTTCCAAACTTTAATTTCAATACAAAATATAATACAAAGAAACACTGATGAATCAGGCATTGCCAAATTCAAAACCAAAAACTAATAAATATCTGTATGATAAAAATCCTACTATTTCACAAATACAGTATTTATAATTTTTTTAAATTTATATTAAACTATTGTTATATGCCTTATGTGATTTTTTTCCCTAACACAGCATAATATTTAATTAAAGATAGTTTTACTATAATAGTTTTGTACTACTTTTGTATTTCACAATCAAATACATTCATTATAGTATACTACTACAGTGTTAACTTACATATTTTAAAAACATGTAAAGCTCAGGATGACTACTTGGGTTGTTGGTCACTTCAAAGAGAGGCATGAAGATATTTTCAAGTATTTCTTGAAAATTTGAAACTAAATTGTTAGATTTGTAAACATCGCTAAAAAGACAGAGAAAAATGTATTAAATTTTTTTTCAGAAAATGTTATAATTCAAGGCCACAATAATAATAAAATTATTTTAATGAATGAGCTATTATATTCAGGAACATGTTTATATTGGGTTCAAAAAACATAATTTTCCCCCTTTGATTAATAGTTTATTGTAAATTATAAACAATGCAAAAAAAGTTGTACAAGAAAACGTTTGCAACACTAGAAGTAGTCTTTCTTTGACATTTTAATATACGACATGTATAATTTACTATGTCATTCTTTAACACGTTGAGTGCAGCGGCAGTCCCTGGGGACCGGCAGTGAACTTTCCGTGTGGCGAGCGGTCGGTCTTTGGGGACTGGCACTGGAATTTTCGTTTGGCTGGCATCGGTCCATTGGAGCAACAGCATTAAAGTTAAAAAATAAATATAGTCTCAATGAAATGTGATCAAATTTAGTTTTAATGAAATGTATTGAAACATTCTAAACAAAAATACAGCTTAGCTCACTGCCAGCTGAACGGAAAGGACAGCTAATTCGGCGCCACGCTCAACGTTTAAAAATATGAGATTTCTGCACGAGTTTCAGGAAATCAGTTAACTAGTTTTGTTTCCTCTTGTAAAGTTATGAATAGCTTTAAAAATTAAGTGTTCAACAAGATGTATTTCTACTTTTCATTTGTTTTAAGCAAGCAATATTTGAACACCTTCCTATAACATAAAAACTTCCTACAATATTATAAAAACTTCCTATAATATAAAAATCCTTCTCTTGAAAAAACAACAAAAGAAAAAGCATTATGAAAAACGATTATACTAAATCTTAACTTAAGCTAATTGAAGAAAAACTAGTTAATATACAGTGCATCAGAAAAATTATATACAATTTAACACATAATTATTATTCAGAATAGGGAGTGAAATACAGTAGCAATGTGTAGTGGGATGTTTGCTCAACAGAGACACTATATGTACTTGAATGCTAGCATCAACACACAGCAGGTGGCACTAAATTAACAAAGCAGAATCATAACTGACCTTTAAAAAATACCAAGCTACAGAAAATATACTGAAAATATGTGAATGTATAGGAGTTTCTACTACAGAAATGAGAGTATCATTTTAACTCTTCTTCATGACTTACTGCTTGAATATGTGATAAATTCAAATTCAGATACAGTGTGTGATGAGTGCAAAGGCACATCAGGGAGGCCTTGCACAAGCTTCTTCAGCTACAGTGATGAAAGAGTTTACACGTTCATCTCGAAACTATTGGACAAAAACTGGCTGACAGATATGTTAAGTAAAATAAGTATGTATTAATTAACATTTATTAAGGAAACTTAATGGAAAGTGTTCATTCAAGAATTAAAAAATCGAACTATGATGATCCTGATAGATTTACAGTTTTACAAATGATTTCAAAACATGGTGCAAAATGATCTGGGATTTGTGGGTAAAGTGATTTGGCCAAATGATGCACGCACACTATCAACTTAATGGAACTGTCATCAAGATATAATTATGAGTACTAAGTTATAAAATATCATTACATTTACTGTGCAAAAAAGCTGTCAAAGTACTGGAAATCAATACCTACTGTGCACTGTCATCTAAAAGGCTAAATGAACTTTTTGCTTTTGAAGGTAATCTTACAGGATAAATGTACATGAACACACTTCATAAAGCCATTTTGCTTGGCATATGCATACTTTGGAAATGCGAGTTTTTGTCATTATGGAATGGTTTTTAATCACCAAAATGAAGTTCTTTCACCTAACCAACAACATGTCTGAATGCATCTCTATCAGAATTTACCAGGATAGGTGGACAGAATGAATAGTTTTCATTGAGTTTTCTCAAGATTCTCCAGTTTCAACACCACTAGATTATTACCCGTGGAGACCCTAAGGATAAAGTACATCACAATAAGCTAGTTATACTGATCAAATTTAGGGACAAAAATGTTAAGACCCATACAGCAATCCAAGAGCAAACTTTGGTCAACAGTATTCAAGCAATAACAGAATGCACTCAGAAATGTCTGGATGATGGGGACCCATCATTTTGAGCATTCACTGCAAATGTGAAGCAAAAAATGGTATTATATCCTCAAACACATAGCAGTTTTAATTTAATGTATATATAAGGTCTCTGGAACTTTAAAATATGTTTTTCTTTATCAAATGACTTTATTTGTGGATACATTAGTATCAATAAACTGGAAAAGCAGATGTTAGAATTTTACACATTTTTGGCACATCCTGTATACAAATCAAACTTCAAATACATTATGAAATAAATCCTTATGAAATCATGCACTATAAAAAATATCTAGTTCATGCAGGTAGCCTACTTTATTTAGATAAGTTAGTTTACAATTAATTTTATCTTGTCTTTTCAGTCACAACAGAATTACATTATTTATAAAATCAGTTAAATACTAGATACCGCATAATCTATGAATACAGAATGAAAATTCTAACATCTATTTGCTTTATTTATTCATACTAACTTATGCCTGTTCACAATTAATATAATTTAATTTATGCATGTATAAATCTTCTACAATCTAATATGCTTATTTTCTACAATCAAGTTTTATGCATATGTTATTAAGGATTTTGTAATAACTATTCAGTTTCTTTAAAGAAGAAGGCATTTCATCTTACTAAAGACGAGGAATTTGAATAACCCATCGATTATTATTTGAAAATACATTATGTTTGACAGCCCACTGAGCTAGTCGATCCCACTCATCTCGTTTTCGGCCATATATAGAAAGACGTAATTCAGCATTTTGGTACTTGCTTTCTTCCAAATCACTCATCACTTCCTAAAAAAAAAAAATAAACTTTTTTAATATAATAGATGTATTTAAAATTACATAAAAATTTTAATTCTTATCAACATTCTTCAAGTTTAAAACCAAATGAACACAATTTTAGAAGTATTTCTTACTATTATCACCTATTGCTAGCATTATAAATCTGAAGTATAGTATTTAAATGCAGTAAAGGAAATGTATGCATTGTTATAAAGATATAAATTTTTACAGAAGCATATATTTTTTAGTTAATAAGCAGTATTTTTATTTTCCCTCCATTATTAACAGTTTTAAAATTTTTAGCATTTAGAAAAGTTCTATATTTTTCTAGCTGATTTTCCCCAAACAATTTGGAATGTTAAAAAATATTTCTTTTGACCATCTTCCCTCTACAATATGTTGAAAAACACAGTTTTTTTTTTTAAATCAGGGTTTTTATTTTGAATTTTACGATGAGACTTAGTAACAGAAATATTTGTAAATCTCAAATAAACTTTGAAATAATAATAATGAAAAACAGACTCAGTGAAAGAGTTTTATAAAATATGATACAGCAAATATTTTTACTGAATATTCAAGCAATTTCAAGAAGATATAGTACTACATTCTATACACATATTCACAATAATAACATACTTATTTTAATAGCATATTTGTCTTCAGAATTAACAAGCATATTAAAGAGAAAGCACATGATATAGATACATTATCTTGAAAGTATATTCTGTAACTGATTTCTTTAATAGTTTATCAGGTTTTAATGATGTTATTCTAATGGAATAATTATATAATAAATATACATCAGTTTTACACATCTAAATTCAAGTATTTCAATAAAACATTTTTCAGATCTTTTACTGATCAAATGAAAATAATTTCAAGAATTCAAACCTAAACAAAATACCGATATTTGGAATCTTATTAACAGTTAGCTTATTAGCAGTAATTTTCATTACAACTTCATAAATAGCTTTTAGAAATTTGAGTTGAATATAATAGCTTCTAAAAAATGTTGATTCCTCCGAAATGCATTAACAAGTGCTACACATTTAAAGGTAATATTATACTCTATTATTTTATATTACACACTGAACATTTATCTCATTCATAAAAAGAAGTGATTATGATGAGAAAAATAATCCTTACCTTTAATATATGAGCAAAATACTTTCCTTCCACAAAATTATCCGTTTTCAAGAAAATTTCGCGAAGTCTACTTTCACCAATTGGATTGTATTTTGCATTAAATTTATCAAACCTATGAAAAGTATTTCGATCCTATAAATAAAAGTTAAATACAATTTATTCAAGAAAGAGGTAAACAAAAAAAAATTATAAGTTACATATTCAATGCAGTTTTGAAAAATTGATGCTCCAGGATACATTAAAATTTTCAAATTGTGTTAAAATATATAGTTCACTACTTTGACAAACTTAAAAAAAGATACCATTATAATCAGATAAAATATTCAGAAATACGCCTAGTATGAAAAATACAGAGTGATGCAAAAGAAGGTTGACATGTTTTGAATTAAAAGCATTTATTAATAAGATTTAAGACTTGAGAAAGTTTGATGTCTCTGCATTTGGATGATTTTGTATTGGATATATTTAAATTGCATTTTGCATTATTAAAGCAAATTTTCACATTTCTTCAGAAACAATAACAGATCTTTAATATTAAATATTTTAATTTATATATTAACTGAACTTTATATAAAGTAAAGAATATACTTTCAAGATAAGTTAAAAATATAGTGGAACCTTGAATCACAAACTTCTTTCATCATAAAAAAATTGTGTAAGGGGGAGGGGAAACTAAGATGACAAATGACACCTTCAGTCATTAACAGCCAAGTCAGCAGCAAATGCTCTTCAAAGTTATTTGGAGGTAATCTAGGTAGAATTAATACTCATGAATTTCATTAACCCTTTGACTATATATACTAAAAAATATTACCCCCTTTTCTATCTAAGTGAACAAAATATGTCATAAATAAGGTTTAGCAGTCGGGAATTTTTTGACAAACAAATTTCAAGCCAAAGGCTGGGACACCTATGTCCCAGCCATAGTTAATGGTGGGATACATACCTCGCATATGTAGCGATTGACTTACTACATGCACACCTATTATTCTGGAAGTCTTTATTATACAAAATAGATTTTACATTGTATGGTACAGGGTAAAGCATTCTTTACATTACCCAACATTATACTTTGAGCAACTCATATTTGTTCTTTTCTCTATATTCATTTGTGTACAACGAGCACAGCAGCATCTTGATTTTCCAACTATCAGAAGATGATCTCCCAAGGCTCAGGAGATTCAAAGTATTTTTTTAACACAATAGTAATTTTTAAATTTCTAGTGGGACATATATGCCCCATTAGTAGTTCAAAGGGTTAAATCATTTTAATGTTTTTCATTGCTTCACTCTCAATAACAAAACCTGGCAATAAGAATGAATTTGGGCCTGAGGGAAATTATGTCATATTGTACTGCAGGTAGTGATTTTAAAATATGTTTTGAAACTTAAGACACTTTTTGTTAACTACAACATTGTGTGTCTCAGCTTAGGCTTGAAAGTTAACAATGAATACATGGAGGATTTATTAAAAGACCATAACAGTCAGCTCAACAAGAAAGAATTGCAACAATGTTAGAAGCAGCAACAAAAGATGATTGGGAAGGAAATGCCTGGGAGAAACAGGAAGGAAGAAAAGAGGATCCTAGTCCTTTGACACACAAAATGTTTCCAAAAGGAAGGCAAGATGCAAAGTTTTCATTTAATGAAATTATCCTGAAAAGCATTAGAAAGTTTTACAGCATACACATTTTCACTGTCATGTCTCCTTTTAGAAGCATTTTAAAATGCAGACAACAAATCATATTGGATAAATTTTGATTGAAACAGCGATTCAGAAAGTCTTGAGCAGAGCTGAGTAAGGCCAAGAGACAAAGTAAAGATAAAATATGATGCTAGAAAGCCAGTTAGTCCTCTGGTGTTTTTATGGAAGGAGACTCCTTATCAGAATAATAACAGCTTCATACAAATACAATAAAATAATAAATTAACTTTTCACCTATTTTATCTATCTAACATTGTTTATATAAATTTTTGTGTTAGGTACAATGATTTGCATTGGTTTTGTGTTGTGGAGTAAATAAAATACTACCCAAAGTTTGAATCATCAAGTAATCATCTGAGATATAAGAATGGATTAATTCATTTTACATTAACTTCCATGGGAGAACAGTTTTGGTTTATGAACTTTTTGCTTGTCGAAGGACTTTCCGGAATACATTAAATCATGAACTCAGATTTCATCGTATAAAAATGGCAATCCCCATTTGCATCATCATGTAGTATATAAACTCTTCTCCTTAATGAATAGTAAAATAAATTAGGTAGTTTTAAAGAAATAGGATTATGACTTACGGCATGGACATCTAATACATCAACACTCAAATCATATGCTGTCAAATTCAGAGAATCAAAAACCTAAAAAATAAAGATTTTAATATTAGAATGAAAATTTTTCATTGATTACAACATGAAACATAATATTTCCTTTGCTAATATTCTGTATATTGTTAAGCAGCGCCTTCTTTTTCTAGCCCCCCCCATTTCTGGCATTAATATAAAAAATATGCTTTAATTATCTCACTAGCTATACAGGGCTTTTGAAGAACAATATTCTAACATACTTATATCTTCACACCAACAGGAAGTTTTTCTATGATGATGAGTATGTATGCAGAATTGTTAATTTGCATTTTGTCACTTCAAACATTTTTTTCCAGCAGTTAATTTTCTTAGCTGCCATATTTTCAAGCTTGACATTAGTTATCTTTTCTTGTAATGTAAGCTCTTAACACTTTTCCTTACTAGCTTGTGCATTACAAATTTGTGTTATACAGATTCTTATGATAAAAAAGACATGCTTTTGTATTTCATTATTTAGTTTCAATGCAGTGTAATACACCACCACCAAATATTGCAATTTCTCAGTTTATAAAAGCAGCACCATGAACACCGCTGATCGCTATATACTAAACATCAATTTATGGTACACTATCATACATGTATTAACAGATGTAGCATATTTAGGCAAAATTAAAACTTAATTCAGCATAAGTTGCAATAAAAACAGTGCATTTCAATTGGCTTTAAGCATCAGAATTTCTTCTTTAGAAAAATTATTCAGAATTCATTAACACAAGGAACAGAGAATGTCCTTTGCAGAATTTTTAATAAAGAAACAAATTTTGAATTTAAACCTGTCTTTCCATCTCTTTTTTTTTCCCAAAGATACGTCAAATTTACTTCTTCAAATTCCAAATTAGCATTTCTTACTGTAGACTTGCCCCTATGTGTTTTTATTTTTTTAAAACATTTCCCCTTCAATTTAGATCTTGCGTTCCATTTACACTAAACTTAGAAGTTTCAAACTTAGCTTATATGATAGCATATAATTTTTATTCTTAACATTAAGGAGGATATATTATCCATTAAAATGTACCATGCATCTTGTAAAGTAACAAAATGGACGGTACTATTTGAAGATAGTAATTCATATCAAATCCAAAAATGTCCATTATCAAAATTATAGAATTCAATTCTTAACACTGGCCCCACTAATGTCCTATCTTGATTGAGTTTGAACTACGAGTCGACATTTTTGATTATTTTGGATTGAACATTAAATTAATCTCCAACATGCCAAAAAGAAACTCATGTTTACTAATGAACTGAAAAAACGGAGTATCCATTTTTGAAAAACGTTTGCAATAGTAAAGTGAAATGTGAAATGTTGGTTTTCAGAATTTTGAGCAGCTGAAAATGGGTGGGGCTATTACAAATGGGACATTACAAATTTTTTAAAATGTGTGGAATATAATGACAGCCCATTAGTAATGGCAACAATTAATCATATTTTAAAGGCACCAATTTGTGACAAAGAATCCTTAAAAGCAGCAAAAAAAGAAACTTTTGCATTTAATGTTGCTATTTGCAATTCCAGCATTCAGTTGACTGTTCATCTAAATGGTTTTTCAAACTCTTTGAAACAAAGTTTAGACTAGCCAGAACAAAGTTTAAGCTGTCGTTGTTATTGTGATTGTGTGACTGTCAATTCAGCTGCTCCATAAAGATAAAAAAAAAAATTGTGATAGTATCAAGATTCTTCTAACAGCAAAGAAATTAAAACTGTAAAATTGTTGTATGACATTTTATATTAGATTGTGATGTAAAACTTTTAGACTTGAGAGTTCCCAGTGGAACTGCAGAAATACTGACAAATCATTTAATGTCAGTTATGAAAACTATGAAATAATAAGAAAATAAGGTGTGGTGGAGCAGAATTTTTATCTCGATAAACAGCAGAGAATTAACATGGTCTGAAACTGAGGCTTCAAGTGAAACAATTAATGAAACTGTTTCAAGTACAATAAACATGGATCATCTTCTTGATGAATTAGTGATTGCAAATGCTTTCTGGTCAGCTAATTATGAAATTTGAAAAAATAAAAGTTGTGAAGAAAATTAGAGAGAGCTTTTCAATCATTTCAAAGAAAGCATATTTCACTGTCTGATTCTTGTTCAAATAATAGAATGTATTTTTAGCATGCCAGGCACATGGATACGATTCAAAAGAGTTTTCTCAAGAATGAATATTTTATGGTCTGAAGAAAGATGTAGAACGGCTAAATCAACCATAAAATCTTTAATTAAACTAAGCTGTAAAATTAACAATGAATTAAACTGCAGTAGATTTTTCAATGCCATATAAAATAAAGAATTTTTTAAAAAATTCACTAGTTATAAACAAGCATTAAATAAATCTTTATAATACATATTACTAATAACTATTTTATAATAAAGCATGCTCAGTTGAGTTATTAAAATTTTCTTTAAATTCAATGACGTTTTTGGTTAACTTTTTTATTTAGTTATTTCAGTCACAGGTACTTAGCCTAGTAGATTTTATAGTCTGAGTATTTTCTCAAAATTGTCACGGTTAGAGCAAAAAATATGGAAGCTTACTTATAATGGGAGTTGACTGTAATATTACAAATATACTCATCAGTGTTTAAAAGCTGACCAGTTAAAAATCAGTAAAAATTACATTTTAGCTGATATATATATTTGATAGCCCTTTTAATGTAAGTGTTCAGGAAACAGGAAAAGGAAGAAACAGGTTCATTTTAAAGCATATATAGTTAATATGCTTGTCTTTAAAGTCTTATATATAATATAATCTTACATATTATATTATTTTAAATCTCATATATTATATATATTTGTAAGTATATTTGTCTTTTTTAAGTGTACTATATTTAATGCAGTACACTTTAAAAAGACAAATTATTAAGTCTAGAAATGTTAAAAGTGCTATTTAAATTATTACCAAAACAAAATTTTAAAATGCCAGAGAAAAATAAAAAATACAAAAATCTACAAAATGTTAATTAAAAAAGACTTCTATGAGTTACAAATTTTAAATCTAGAAAATGAAAAAAGCAATAAAAATAAGTGTTGGATGCTTTATGCTTGAAGATACAGAAGAAATCATTACATACTATGATCTTGAGAATAAAAAACTGGAAGATTATTAAATGGTTACTTGTCTAATATTACACAGATAAACAAAAATTTGAAAATTAGGAAGCATGAAAGCAAGATGGTTAATATGAAATTATCCTGCAGTTCCTTAAAGAAAATGCAAGCCCTTACTTGAGAAGCTGTAGAATCTTTCACTGTTGAATCTGACTTCATCCACTCCAAAATAAAGAAAACTGAGTTAAATGCTGAATTTAATTTACAGTTTATACATTTTTATTTCAAAATAACAGATTTCATATCTAGAATCTTTTTATACACAACAGGGTCTCTGGCCCAGATGTGTCATTTTTATATGCACAAACAGCACAAAATGAAATGATGATAAATGACAAAATGAATCATAGAATGTTTAATCACAAAAAATTCACAACTTATTTCTCTATTATATAAATGAAAGAGAAAACATGATTACTAAGCAGAAAAATGAGTTCAGTACTTGAAGAATATGTTCAGTTCTTTCACCAAAAGGAAATTAATTGGATTTAAGAACTAACAGCACTAGTATTCATGAAGTGCTTCAGGCAGAATGCCTCCACAGGCAAAAAAATTAGTTAATACAATCACTATGAATAAGGTCACATTAATTTTTCTACAAAAATTAAAGGAATAAAAGAGAATAATTGAAGAAAGAATTAAAATTTCAAAATATTAAATATGAAGGGAAAAAGGATCACAGAAGTAGAAGCTTAGAAAAAGGAAAATCTAGAAAATGATTTTTATTTAAATATTACATTCAAGAAGTATATTACCACCATTAACATCAATGAAGATTTAATATAATCACCCATGCTTCTTACTGTATATTATTTACAAAAATAAATAAACTTCTCACAGATCAAATATCAAATTCCTCTCCTCTTAAAAATCCAATTAAAAATAATTCTAAATAATTATTTCTTTTAAACTTGCATCTTGATTTATTTTAAGATAAGAATAAACATTATACAACATTTAAATACTACATATTAGTATTTCCAAAGGTAATTTTAATACATTTAAGTGTATGTACAAGACTATTAAGTGTGGAGAAAGAAAGAAAATGGACAAATACATATTTTAAACAGGTACAATCAGCCTGGCAATAAAAAATATATTTAATATAGTTTTAATTTGATAAAAATATATCTATAAATAATGTTTTATTTTATAACATTACTTACATATTAATATATTTACAGAAGCGCATGCTACCTCAAACAAGAGGTATGAGCTGCAGATCTCAAACAATATTCTAATTATAGGCACAAACATTTAAGTCTATTTTAGATGATACTTTATGTATAAAGATAATTTCAAACACGGAGCTTTGCGTTCATATAGAAGCAAAACGGAATGCTATTCCTCAGATATGTATTTAGAACTTGATTCAATCCCACTGCTGAAAGTTACAATGCAAACATTGATTTTTGACATTTAATGTATTCCCACTCCTCTGTAAATTTAGTAGTTTTTTTGTTACCAATACAGGTCATAAGCAGAATAAATTTCATTCAATTCTGATGAATCCTTAAAAAGCTGCAATTTTTAAAAGCAGCAGTATGTAACAAAATCTTTCCTTCAATCAATCAAAGGTCTTATTGACCACATTTATTACATAATTAGTGTACTACATAGTGTAAATAATATTTTACTGTTAATGACTTAACGGTTACTACAGTGCAAAACTGAAACAAACAAATAAGAGAAGAAAATATGTATATTGATTACCTCCTGCAGTGTCAGTGGTTTTCCATTAGATAAGCAAACTGTTTCATTTGCACACTTTTTCATTGTTCTTTTGATGAATCGCAAAAGATGTTTCTGATTCATGCAAGATGCAGCATGTACATGAGTATCAACCTACATCACATAAAATAAAAACTGAATTATTTTTTGGTGAAAGTAACGGGCATTTTTAAACACTGTAAAATAAAAATATTAGAATACTATGAAAATTTTTAAATCATTGTTAAAATTTATAAAATAAATTAAAAGATACCAAAAAATTTTAATTAGAAAATAGAATTTTTCTGTATGCATTTGAATAGTCAAGAAAAGAAATTAAAATTTAGATATTTAAAGGAAAGTGTATGAAATATTTAATCAAAATTATTTAAGTAGCTGTATTACATAAATAATACATTGCATGTAATGAATGTCAGCATGGTAAAGTACCTCATATAATGAATTACATGTATACCATACATTTTTTCATATGTTAAATATGGAGCTAAGTTTGTTTTTATTTCTGTTTAGATAGTGTATATATACAGAAACTGAACAAAGAAAAGTAGCAGAGGAGAGTGCAAGTAAATTTAGTTCCTAATATAGCCATTAAAGGATTACAATTCATAGTTGAAATGGATCATGAAAAAGCCTAGACAGAAGCTTCTGGTGAGAAGGGAAGAACATGGATGGGTTTATCATCATTAAATTTCAGATGTGTTAGGTGAGCTGAATATGGAAAAGCACATCTACTTAAAGGGAAGAGATGCATTTCTAAAAGAAACTTGCTAATATTCATGTTACACATGGGAAAACTATGAAAACCAGACATGTAACCTATCTGTTTGAAATGAAACCTGGGTCAAACTCTGAGTACCCAGCAGTCAACTTTCAGATGTGAAAAAAGCATCTAAGCCACGACTAAGCAAGAATAAACCAATTAAACGAAGATGGCATATCCTTTCACCCCGCACTTCTTTAAAACCACCCTGAAGAAGAGTGGAAAGCTATCCACAACATTTGACAATTTTTTTGTTTTAACCAAGACCTCTCCCCCCTCTCCTAAAAAAGATCAAAAACATAAAAGAGAGTTCAGTCTTGCATTTGAGACTGGGTATATGCCAAACTACTTTAAATCATGAAACTACAAGACTATAGACCTACATAGTGTAAATAATATTTTTTATAACCAACAAATAAGAAAACCCTAAAACTCTGAATTTTTTTTTTTTTTTTTTTTTTTTTTTTTTTTTTTTTTATGATTACCAAATAAGGAAACTAATATTCATTGGAACTTTCTCACAACATTTTACAATTTTGGATGAGGCTTTGGAATGGATTAAAATTATTCCCATAATAACCTATGGTAGACAATGCTCCATAAATGAACTACTCATAGGATGACTGCTATCTCAAAATATTGTATTGGTTACATAAAGCACCATTGTACAATCTTTGAAAATGTAAGTTAATGGAAGCTTATATTAGCTATATTAAACTAAGATCATATTCAAAATTTTGACAAGAACTAGCAAAGAAAAATCTTTTAGTATTTTGAAACACTTAACTCTGAATAAAGAATGTATGTTTATACAGTACAAATTGATAAAAATTCTTTTAAATCAATAACAAAAATTTAAATTTTCAAAACTAATTAAATTTTACATTTGTATAGCTGTGTTTATCAGCCTATATGACTGAATTTCAACAGGAACCTAGATTTGGAAAGCATGGTTGAAAAGTGCAAGGTAATGGATAAAAATTTACTTAAATTCATTCCAATGAAAGAAATTCCATTTTCCTCCACAAATATTTAATGATGATTGTTTCTGATGACTGTTATTCTTGCTTAATGCAAAGTTTTCTTATACCCTCTATTTGTATTCAATGACAATGTTCTTGTAGCTATAACGAATGACCATTTAAGTTACCTGAGCTCTTCTTTAAAATTCTTACCAACTGCATAATGTAGATAACAGACCACAAAACAATGCATTAATTATTTCTTTCTCTCTCACAAAAGATAATTTTTTAAAGCCTTTGCAAGTATTAGATTCACTAACTTTAATTATAAGTTAACAATAATTTTAAGCCTGGTTTTTTAAATAAGAATAATACTGCCATTGGCTTGAATATGCAGCTGTTTATGTAGGAAATTTTAGCAGTCAATTGAAAAGTCCACACAAGTCTTTGTAAATCTATAAACATTAACTATGAACTTTAAACAACATCAGCTATGAAATACAATACTTGCAGCTAATATATATGACTGGATTAGATTTTTATATTACTTGAAAATATAAGACTTAATTTTAACAAAAATGAATTTTCACAAAATTTTAATTTGTTACATATGTCCTACATTAATATATAAAGTCTGATCACTTGATTATCAAAAGTCAGTTTAAGTTACAGAGGTTTCTTTAAAATTTCAGTAAAATTATAGATACATGAATATGAACATTATGGAAACTAACTTTAAAGAGATGCACTAAATCTGATTGAAATAAATCTTTAAATTTATTGTTCTATTTGAAATGTAACAGTATTTCAAAGAGATTTTATTTTACATTTTTGTCATTTAATTAAATCAATGACAGATAAAGAACTAAATAAATTTTATTTATACCTTTCTTATGTTATAAAAGTCTCTATGCGGAACTGCTTTTTGTGCTGTAAGTTCTGTCATTTCATTAAGTAAAACATGAAGTTGATATTTTAAATATAAGTAACTCAAACGTCTGTAGCAGAAAGATTTTCTAGAAAAAGAAAAATATGTACATAAAATATATTTTTATTTCTTGAGAAGTATATATACATTCAGATATTATAATTAACTATAAATACTTAATATTCAGCAAAAAGGAAAAAAATTATTCCCTAATAATTTATAAAGCCTCTCTCATTAAATATTTAAAAAGAAATCTGTTTCTAAAGTAATGTTTGAGAAAGATCATACAATCTATGTTATATTAAATTTGTTGCTACAGTAAAATGAACATATCGTAAAACAGCATAAAAATTAACTGAAAAATACACACGGGGGAAACTCTTGCATAGTTTACCATGGATATAATTCAATAAATCCTTTAATTAATTAGAATCAATGGACGAAGAATGATAGCAAGAAGTTCATTTTGTAGTCTCATGTCTCCTGAATGAAAGGATCTTTCATTAGTTGTTTCTCCATTTGTTCCTACATTGATGCATTCTGCTTCAGTCAATACATAATTTCTCAATTAACTCATAAAGGCATAGCAAAAATAATAACTAGGTTCATTGATTGACTGAATATTGGTAGTGTTCAACATCTAATGTTTCTGAAATGAAACAAATATTACAATTGCATCACCCACATGAGATTTTACGTGAACCTTGAATGCTTGTTTTCTTCAGAACCAATAGAAACTTGATGCTATACATGCTTGCATTGTTAATAAATGCATAATTGCATTTCTTAGCAATTACCCAATATTTCACTGAAACTGACTAAAAATGTATTAATATTTCTTTATTTGTACACTGCTTTACAGGATACTTATTTGCATCACTGGATCATCTATACCCATCACAAACAAACAACAGGGGTTTCCTGAATAACAAATATCTGAATAAATATTTGTAAAAATGTATTCCCTGAAACATGAGTTTTTTTAAAAACATTTATAAAAAAATTAGATCAAAATGAACAGAAATATGAAGTAGTTTCTTAGCATTATCTGAAAATAGGCTTAAGAGTACGTGCCAAGCTAACTTTACTTAAGAGTACTTAACTTTGCTTAAGAGTATGAGCCAATCGCAGGTTATTTTGGTTGAGCAAATTAACCAGCAGTGTCTTTTAAGATAAATGTCTGATGGCTACTGCCTAACAATATAACTTCAAACAAGAGACACACGAAGCTTTTTAAGATAACATTTGTCTGCCATACTGTTTGAAATCATTATCACTGGATCTGTAGCTATTTATTTTATACACCGCAAAATCAAGATCTGGGAAAGAATAATTTATTATTATTTATATACTATTTACTGAAGGTTAAGGATACAGTTTGGAGGAAAAACATATTTATAGATCAGTTATTGTCAATTTTGGCACTTACCTTAAATACCACATCCACATAACATACAAGCACTGAAATATATTACATTTCTAATACTAATACCATATGCTTATGTAATGTCCACAACTCGATTTTCAGCAAAATACTTCACATAAATAACTTACTAGTTTTCACTTGAGAAATACAAGTAAAAAAAACTGAATCACACAATGTCCCAATTATCATTTTTGTTTAAGAAAAATTACAATATGGAGTTACAGGAAGAGGATTGCAAGTATAGGAAAAAGACTGGATACACTGCAAACTTGATGTAGAAGGAAATAACCCATAGGTGCTGTTAACAAGGGAAGATGTGTGACAGGACATCTTTTGGAAAGATTTAAAAGTAACAAGCATCTCAGAAGTGATAGATGGAACTGAAGATGATTCAGTGTTGCGGAGAAGATGAGACATTCTTGATTATGATATCAAAAAAGACAATGGAACCAACATCAATTCACCAGAAAAAGAATGACTAGAAAATAAGAACTTGCAAGTATTATTGTCTGCTTATGTGACAACAGAAAGTATTATGTGATGAATATAAAGAAAATAAGTGTGATATCTGTTTCATGAAATGAGCTTAAAAATAATTGCCAAAAAATTGCCGCTGAATGCATATGCTTTTTGTTTTTTGAATTTGCTGGGTAATTATAAATACTTATAGTATTTTTTACACAATTTGTCCTTCAAAAGTTAGCATAGGCTTCTCGTGGAAAAGTAAATACATTTGAGCTTAAAAACTGAATAACCTGCGTAATGTCTGCACCTGAAAATTTACATCGAAACAGTAGAATAAAAAGGGTGGATACATAAGTGTATATGTTAATTTCTGCACAAATGATCAATAAATTTAATTTCACATAGCATAAACTTATACACATGTAAAATGTAAAATATTATTTTATCAGGAATTATGCAATTTACCCTTTTGTGATCAATGTATTACATATAACATTTAAAAGCTAGCAGAAACTGAAAATATTATGAGATGTTTCTGAGGAAATACAACAAAGCACACACACTAGAGCTATTTATTAGCCCCGAGAAGAAAAAAGCACTTACAGAGGTCCATCTGTTATCATTGCACAGATAAAATTCATGTCAGCAACAAAAGTGGTTAAAGATGGGAATGGATAATCCAGACGACGGCCATCTTCCACATCTTCTTTTGTTCTATACACCTGGATCACACCATCTTCAGTGTTAAGAACATAATTTAGATCTTCTGGAAAATCTCGTTTCCATGGATCTTTTTCTAAAGTTAAAATTAAAAAAAAAAAAAAAAAAAAAAAAGGTTATGTATCTGCAGGAATATTTTGAAAAATTCACTGAAATAAACATACATAATGTAATCTGAGTTTTCAATAACATCAAATTTCGCTTTTATTAAAGTAAAATCAGCAAGTTAAAACTAAATGCATCTACTTAAAAAAAAAAAAAAAAAAAAAAAAAAAAACTGCTATTACATAGAAATGATCATGAGAAATGCAATTTTCTGCATATTGGAATTAAATAAATATAAATTAGGTTAAAGTATATTTAAATTATCCATTGATTTATTTTGGTTTGATTTTGAAGGTACACATATAGAGTTTACTAAACGTCATTTTGCAGTTTGGAAAAACTACAGATAATTTAGTAACTGAATTCTGACAACTACTGAAAATGAATCTCAAATTACATACATCAAACTTAATATATAAGCTAGCATCAGATAAATCATTAAAAAGTCACATTTTATGAATGAAGCAGCTAATTTGGGCTTTACCATTTTCAATTCACAATGAAAACTTTGTCTAGGACAAAAAAAAAAAAAAAAAAAAAAAAAAAAAAACTTTTTTTGCTGAATTTCATTTAAATTTATTTCCTCGAATTTCATTAGAGATATATTTTTCATTCAATTAATTCAGTTCTCACTTTGTGGCAAGGCAAAAATACATAAAAACTCAAAACATCTTCAACAAAAATTGCAAAATTCAGAAAAATAAATAAATAAATAAAATAAAACACCAAATGCAGATAAAAAATTAAAAAACTTTACAATTAAAATTACAGTTTCTATGCCAAGACAAACAATTCACCCAGCAGGCAGGAAGGCAGATTTTTTCGTTACACTAAACTGAAAATTTTCTTTTGGTCCCACTGATCAAAAAGACATCGAAGGTGCAGAAATTGGCTTAATTCACTATTCTACTAAAGAGTTTCAAACGTAAACAAATGGCGACTATGTTAGGCAGAGTAGCAGTTTAACAAATTTTAAATTATTGATAATTCTACAGCTATTGCATGCAGATTAATTAAACACATAAAAAACTTAATCGGAACACAACAATGTAATTCAATCCTTTTTTAAAGCAAAAAATGCACAGCCAACATATAAGAATAAAAAAACAGCTCAATGAGCTGGGTAACAGAGTGAGTGTGTATATATATATATAGAGAGAGAGAGAGAGAGAGAGACAGATATAGATATACGTCTTTGGTGTGACCAATTGCAACTGAAAAGGGAATGCACAGCTACATGTTATAGTTGTCCCATGGACAAAATTTCAAAGTTCTGAGGCTACAGTCCCAAGCAGCACGTCTCCAAAAATATACGTATAATTTTGGTGAAATAAGGGTATGGTATTTTTTGCACGTTACTTTTACGAAATTTATACGAATGAAAAAGGCTGAAGTTACTGTTAACTCTTGATCGTTATTTTCCACACGTTATTTTTATGAAAATTATACGAATCCGAATGTACTGATAAAACTACCGCCATGATGGTATATTTTATTCGTCACTTTTACGCATATTATACGAATCCGAATGTTCTGAAAGAAACTACTGCCTTTATGGTATATTTCATTCGTCACTTTTACGGATATTATACGAAGTCTAAAAAGATTGAAAATGAAGTTTATTAATTCAAAATATTTAGTGTATTTCTGGCATTTCACTTTGTTTTCCTTGTCCACGAACATGAAAAAAGGGGCAGTCATATATGAGGCTAAAATTTTTCTATGTGAGCTAAATCTTTACGTGCATTTTTGCAAAAAATTATATTTTCTTAATTTAAACATCTTCAAAATAACTTATTTATTTTCTTATATCAAATTTGTTATTTTTATTCATATCAACACTTATATTAATTTACACAATTTAATTTTATTTATGAAAATCCTATTACCCATTTAACTGGAATAAGCTGTATATTAAATTTGTGTACTTACTGAGTTTGGTACAATACTCTCCTTATTTTATTTAGCAAATGTGGGCAATTGAATTGGAATAAGACTAGCAAATCTTTCATGTCGAGGAATATAATAATAAATACAGCAGAAGATGCTCGAAAACGTTTAACTTCTTGAACAATAGTTTAATGTAGACCAAAGGATCATTAATTATAATCAAAGATATACTAATTTTTTTTATAATAATAATAATAACTCTAACTCTACGAAATTGCAAGCTGAATCCTGATATTTAACATATATTTCAGTTCCTTTAATCTTTGTTATAAAAATCATATGAGGCTAATTTTTTAAAATTTTGTTTAATGTACGGAAAAAATGATATAGCGATTTTAATAATTTTTATATGAGGAAAAAATTAATAAATAATGTAAATAAATCATTATTTTATTTTTATATTTTTCCTGAAACAGTTAAAGACATTCTTAATATGGAGATCTACAGAATAAGTACAAGGGTCCAGTTAAATGAACTCAAAATTTGCATAGTTAATTTTACGCTATAAAAATTAACCGGATTTACGATTATACACTGAGCATGCGCATATACAGACATTTCTATTTTTCGTAGAAAAATTTAATTATTACCTTAATACAGAGATGCTGTGAATATAAATTTATATAATGCAAAAGTAAGTTTATTTCACATGCTAATTTACTGTCTGTCTATGGTAAGAACAGCTCTCGCCAGTTTGTCTGCAGCTGTCTGTTGCCGTAGAAACGAGCCCTAACCCATTTTTCGTAGGGGTGTCTTGAAGACTTACTTCTGAGTTTGCCACCTTGGCGCATTTAAAGATGATTTGGCGATATTCACATTTTGTTTTAGTTTCAAGTAAAATGCTTGTTGACCCTTTGCGTCGACCCCGACATCCAATTTCCGAAAATGAAATTCGATGGTGTAGATAAAGCTTTTGCAGTCAAGAAACGGTCTTTGATTTTGCCGTGTGAGGTGCAAGTCGCTAAATTTGCAATCCCTCTAGATGTACAATGAGTAAAAATAAACTTGTAGGGAAATAAATTAAAAAAAATCCGTGTTTATTTTTGAAGAAAATTTTAATTTCGACATTTAAAAAAAATTATGCTATTATTTGCTTCTTTTTTTGTTTATTTGTTTGCTTGCAAAATCATAGATGACATCTTAGAAATCTACTTGATTGCCCCATTCTCTTTATATAGTATAGACGCACTTCATAAATATAAAATAAATTTAATTTTTATAGTTCTCCCCTCTAGCTGATCTACCGTGAACATTCAAAGCAATTTCTTCAGTCTTTAAATGACGTTCTGCTATGTTTTTATTTCAAAATTTTCTGTTAATTTATTGCTTGTGCTTTAATAATGACTAAAAATTTCATCATTAAATGTATATAGAATCATCTTGAAAGTAAAAGCATTTTTTTACATACCCATGCTCTCAATAAATACTTTTTGTGAACATTTCTTCTTTTCTCATACCTTTAAACTAAACCAAAAGCTGGTTAATTTAATTGCGGAAGGAAGCGAAGGTGAATTAAAATCAAAACTGCTTTTTCCTTAATTACCAGTGGTTTGGGTTGGTTTATATGATTACGGAAAGCCTCCAGGCCTAAGAGGGGATGCCTCCATGGAGGGCTTGCTAAGGGAAACTGGCTGTGCGCCCAAAACCATATCATGTTGCCAAAATTTCTTAAAAGTTAAATTGCTGTCAATCCATGTTTCATCGATGTAAACGATGTGGCGTTCGTTCACTTGCTCTGAGTTTTCTCATTTCGCGTAAATAATTGTTCCTCCAAAATACAATGTGAGGTCTTTCGATAAGATTTTTTTTTTTTTTTTTTTTTTTTTTTTTTTTTCTACGCATTCCAACGAAAATTCATTGAACACAAAACTTTGCACAAAGAGTCTTTTTGACATGGGAAGTCTAATTTTTGCCTCAAGACAGGCAGTAATTTCCGCACAGATGGCACTTTCTTTCTTTGATGTAAAAGTCTTGTATTTGTCTGCCGTAGAACGCATTTGTCAAAATCGTAAATTTCACATTTATGATTAGCAGGGCTTTTACATTTCTTTCCAAGTGTATTCAGAAGTTTATTTTCACCCATTGTTGATACTTCGCTCTTCAAAACTTAAGGAAGAGGAACTACTAAAGAGTTCGCCGAAACTTCAGAAGCGCAAAATTCTGCGACACTATACACGATTTCACGTGACTGAGACTTTAAAGGTTGACCTTTCTTAAACTGGAAGGGCGTTTTAAAAAATTGGCGATTAACAAAGCACTACAAAAATCAAGCTAAATAGAAGCGAATTTGAGCAAATGCTAGCACAAATGATATAACAACGAGAATAAAAAGAGCTAATAGTAATAATATAAGGCTTAAGAAAAGATGCGTGCAGCTGGAATGAAGCCGAGAAGACGAATGATAAACTTCCCTTAAGCCAACAGTCGCCAAAAACAAAATTAAGCACCCTTGGTTCGTCCCTATTTGAAATATACTAGCCCTGTTGCTATAGCGACCGCCACTCGCCAGACACCGTGGCGGGAGCTGTTCTTACCATAGACAAACAGTAGAGGCTTTCTTAATATGTTTAATTATAAAGAAAAAAAAAGCGTTGCAATTCTTGTTCACTGACCAATGGCAAAGCAGACACTTTCTACTTCCGGTTGTGGCGGGATATTTGTGAAGTCAGCACTCAGCAATGGCGGTCGAAAAGAATGGTAAAGTCGCAAAGAATACTGTTTGTTCGTGGATTGGCGTTTGTGACTGAATCCATCGAAGTTACTAATTATTTGAAGAAAGTAAGTGAATATTTTATATTTTCAGTGTTTAATACTCGTACTTTCTTCACCTATATAAAATTTTATAAATAGCGTCTGTGTAGGAAATGTGATTTTCCATGTGTTGTTCTTTTGTGTACGTGCCTAATGATTCATTTTCAGGATTTGGTACTGTTAAATTTTGCACTAGTCTGTTTCTTACTGTTTGTGTCACTCCTTTTTGTATGTGTCTCACCTTTTTATAGTTATATTATTTTTACTCAAACGTTTTAATATTTATCTTAAAGCATACTGTAATTAAGCAGGAAATAGCTTTTAATGGAAAAAGAAAGGCAATATTAACATGACTAATTGTTCAGAAATCTGTTATGGAAATGTTATCTACCTTATGCCAAAAAATAAAGCATGTAACTTTCATTTATTTATGAAATTCAAAATTTTTTATTTGCTTAGTGTTTTCCCTAAAAATAATTTAATTTCTTATTTTTGAATTTAGTTTTATAAATTTGCTTTAATATATAATCTTTAACTCAAAGATATTGTGCTATTAAAAAAGGAAATTTTATGCCATAGAAACACAGGTACTTTGTTCCAAATCTGTGTTCATTTTTTTTTATATATATACTGAATTTTTATGCACTTGTAATTACTGAAATATATCCTTTCATGAATAATAAGTAAGTCCTAAGTCCTTTCATGAATGCATTTCTTTTTTGTTTTTTTGATTTTGTTGTTTTAAAAGATCTGCCATAGTTAAAAAAAGAAAATAAAGTAAGAATGCTTTACTTTCAGTTTTGAATAAATTTATTACTATTTACTGCAGCTTCAAGTTTCTCTAAACATAATTTTCGAAGTCAAAACTTGATAGTTATGTTGATTATTAGACTTGCATGAAAAAATTTATTGAAAAATTAGTATTTGATCTAAAATACCTTAAATTATTTGAATTATATTTTACTAAATCATGTATTTTGATATAACTAGATAGTTAAAAAAATTAAAATTGTAAATGTGCAGAAATGCTTATATAAAACCAAGAAATTGTTTATATTTTTGTTGCTTTTTCCCTTGTAAATTAATTATATATATATATTACAGTCTGGGGAGTCAGCACCCTGCTGAATTGTAGTAAACGAGACGTCCAATCTACTAGACCATCAAAGATGCAGATTTGGATTTTCTATTTCATAGTTATTGAAATCATAATGGTATGTTTGTTTAAATTAGTACTGTTTATGAATGTGATAAAAATAAATTCTGATAAGCTAAGAAATGATTTATTTTCTATTAATTATGAACTGTAAATAATGTAACCAATTTTTCTTCATAGTATTTACTAAACATTTTTTTTTTTTTTTTTTATAAAAGGGAGGTAGTCTTATTTATACAATTCTTGCAGAGATACCAAGAAATAAAACATTTCAGGAATTTTCACTCAGTATATCTTGATGTGTAAAATCGTGTTGTTCAATGCCATATTACTTTTTCACAGGAAAGTAATTTTATTGATCTAACATCTGCATAAATCAAACTTTTTTAAGAATGATTACAGTTTCTAAGCTAACTTAAAATTTTCAGATTTAGAAAATGTATGTTTAATGTAGCATTAGTTTTCCATGGAATAGAAAAGGTTTTCAAAATGTTCAGTTGTTAGAGGGAAATAATATAAATGAGATTGTCCTGATACAGTTTCAGCTGGAAATGAAACTGAATTTTCGGATAGTGAAGATTTCATTTAAGAATTCTGATAAAACTGATTAATGTAATTCCTCTGCATTTAAAAATTCTAATAAAACTGATTAATGTAAATCCTCTGCATTTAAGAATTCTAATAAAACTGATTAATGTAAATCCTCTGCATTTAAGAATTCTAATGAAACTGAATAATGTAAATCCTATGATTCATGTAGGTATTCTTCTGTTATCAGGAGATTCAGAAATGTGTGTTTATATGCATGCATTTTTAAATGTAGGTGCTCGTGTGTGCATGTGTATATTCTTTATGTATGTATGTGTATATGCGCATACATGCATATACACATGCTTACATATCTACAGTGGAACCCCGAGATACGAGTTTAATTCGTTCCAGCATTCAACTGGTATAGCGAATTTCTCGTATCTAGAAACAAGCTTCCCCATTGAAAATAATGGAAATTCAGTTAACCCGTTCCACACCCCAAAAAATATCAATTTTTATATCATCATTATTTTAATATCAAGTCAATTTTTCCTAATAAATAACACTGGTAAATAATATAACAATAGTTTAACTTTGTTACCAACATTTTAACTCATTCTCATTAATCCACACCAACAACAGCTTCTCAACATCTAGGAGTACTTTTATGGTGCTTGGAAGCAACGATAATTCCTTTGGCTACATCAGGTTTCTTAATTTCTTCCTGCTTCTTCAGAATAGTATAGATTTTCGATATTGAAAGGCCGCAAGTCTTCGCCAATTCCGTCACCATGCTTATGTTTATCTACGATTTCTTTCTTGATATCGACGGCCATGGCCTCCTTATTTTTCTTTGCAGCACTATCTGAGGCAACAATCTTCTTGCGAGGCATCTTGAAATAATTATTTTCACGTTAAATGTCAAAACAATTAACTTACAAGTGCACAAACACGTATATAAAAGAACACTGAGTGATCTGACGAGGGGATTCCCCGAGTTGAGCCGGATAGGGAAATGGCGCCACCCATACCAACAGCCTGGCTCATTGCTCGTTACTCGAATTAATGCTCGTATTTTGCTCATACTTTCCTCGTATCTCGAGGTTTCATTGTACATTTCTGAATCCCGTCCTAATAACAGAGGAGTACCTTTGCCAGTATTGCAACAGAGCTAGAATGAATTATTGTGTTAAATATGTGGAAAATGCATGCTTAAAGTACTGTTATTTTCTAAAAATATTCTGTATGTCTATTTTTTACAAGAAGAAAAAATAGCTAAAAGCTGTTAATTTACTCGTATTTATTAGTCCAAAGGGGCTTTGTCCCTAAAGAACTATTGTTTTTGTTTTGCATTGGTTCACTATAAATATCTGTTTCACTTTTCAAACTGTTCCTACCAAATGTTAGAGTCCCTAGTGTGGGATTAATACTCTCTATCTTAGTGCCCTCTATAACCTATGTTAGGGTTAACCTGTATAACCTACAAGGATTGCCAGTTTAGGCGAGATATCTAGGTAGTCATCATAATACGTACCTTATTTTTTATTATTTTTAAATTAAATTGAAAGTAATAAACTAGTTTTCAAGAATGGAGTTAAACTAGATTTGCATTCAACTCTGGTTTATTGTGTTAATGATGTTTTGCTGTAACAAATATGAATTTTTTGTTTAAGTATAATAATTTAAAATGTTTTTTCTAGAGAATGAAGTACTGCCACTAAGGTAAAGGTGCTAACTTGCAAGGTAATTTTCTATTCTACATTAACTCAATCTTTATGTCCTGTTACAGATATATTGGCAGAAATAATGAAAACCTGACATTCAAAAAGAAAAATAATAATGTTGAATGTAGTATATTAGATGGTTAACTGCGGTTTGGCAGCTCATTAATAATCTTACACATATTGAGTACGAATAACTTTGACAATTACCGGTATTTTCAATAGTATAAAATTAGGCAAGAAAGCAGCTTTAGCTTAGCACCGATTTTAAATACAACTCTCTTACCAATATTGGTTTGACGAAGGTAAAATATAATTGAATTTAATAAGTTGGAAATACTGTCTGTCTTTCCATGAGTTAAAAAATAATTTCAAATAAAATTTCTTTTTTCAGTTTTTCATGTTATTTGTTTAATGTTATTGTAATCTGATTTATCATATTTAGTCACATATTCCATCCCTCTTTGCACTATAGTATATAATTCAAAGGACTTATCAGTTTTCAGCAATATTTTTTTTTACCAGTATACATTTTTACCATAACTCTGTTTCTAAATCATATCCTGAAAAATTAAGGAGTAAAGTACACAAAGAAGGAAAATATGCAAGTAAATAATGGCATTTAGTGTTGTTTATGTGTCTAATATTTGTACTAGATTGTAAAAGTTTATAAATTCTATTAGCTTTTTTAAATTATTCTTTTTTAAATTGAGATGCTTCTTTGCACCCAAATGGTTAAAGCCCTAGTGTGACTTTGGTACTTTGATCTAACTTCTATTCCTAATAAATAATCCAGCTGCATACAGTTTACTCAATTTCTGCCATGTGTAAGGTAAACAATATTAGCTTTTTTTTAAATATATCTTTTACAACTATTCCATCAGGTAGATTTCTTTCATATTTTGCCTTAATTGAGTCATCCTGCTAATTAAGAATTTATTAAAGTTAATATGTTAAATTTTTGTATGTATAATTCATTTTAAGTATGTGCAAGCAAATGCATACATTAACAGTTACGTAGAATTATGTTTTGGGTATCAAATTCAGAAAATTTGGGGCTGTTTTTAGAAGATTTATTAATGATTTATACTATATTAATATTGGTAAAAAAATTCTGTGGCTTTTATATGAGAGTATATATTTTAAAATAGCTGCATGATATGGTAGAGGTAAAAAGCTTCATGTGGATCATAAATTAATATTATGTGGCAATTTTTCATTTATTTAATAAAGAAAATATTCAAGCCACAATTAAAATTTTTTTCACTGGATTATTTGCATACAAAGTTTGCAGCAAATATTTCCTGCAACAGAAGTGACAATTTTTATTTTGCCAAGACAGGAAATTTAGTTAGTGAAAGCAGTAACCCTATTTTGAGATGTTAAACAGGAAGGCAAATTTTTGAATTTAAATTGATTTTTGAAGGAAGACTTCATTTAGTCTTGCTATCATTCTACGTGGCTCTTAACTTTTTTATGGTATTTATAATTTTATTGTTATTCAGCTTTCTGTTTGCTTAGAATGCACATGAATGTAGACTTGAAATATTTTATATTGCAAACTGAGATGCCATTGTTATCATAATTAAAGATTTTTGCTCTGATTTTGGAGGAATTTACTGATAATACTTTTGATTGTGTATTGGTTTCTGGTTTATTGAAATGTGTAAAATAGCCTGTTAATGCATATACGTATGTTAATGACATGTATATGTTTATGAAGTATTCTGTTATATGTATATAGTGTTGTGATTAGTTTTCTGCTTACTCTTTATTTAAGAAAAAGTTATCTGTAAGAAAGCGAATATTCTTTACTATATGTAGGAGTAAAATTGAAAAGGCTAATGCAATATAATTAATACAAAATTAAGTTTTTTCTCATGTACTTAAATACAAACATAGCCATTAAAGACTTTCTCAACCTTGCAGTTCTAAACAAATCTTAAGTATTTTTTACTTGAAATTATAGGCATTGTGTAAGGTATATAATTGAAGCTTACTGTGTGATAGTATGAAATTAAATTTTTAATTACTGAAATGTAAATTTTTAAATATGAAATACTCAGTGCATTTTATATGCATCTTTTAATACTTCAACTATATTTAAAAACTGAAAACATCTGAAGTGTGAAATTATTACAAATTTTTCTTTTTCTTGTTTAGGAGCTGTTCTCAAAACATTGGGTGACAAAGAATTCACTTTTACAAAAATCGAGCAGGATATTAAAGACAGCGAACTATAGAACAAATATGGCGAAGCTGCATGAAGTCTATGTTGAATTTTATTATTGAAAAAAATATGCTCTTCAGATTTAATGTTAGTTTTTATTGTTTAACAGTAATTGCAGTTTTCGAATACCTGTAAAATAAACCTAATTCTTAAATTAATTTCATGTGTATTTCTTTTGCAAGTATTACAGTTCATAATACTTCAAACAACTTGAAATTTTATACTTGTTAATTTATGTGGGATATGTTCATAATAATTTTATAATTTAAATAACTCATTGTCATCATATGAGCATAATCTAAAATGCACAGCATTTGACAACAAATTAATAAAAAATTAGCCAACTTCTAATTGCTTTCTTTTGTCCAGTTGCCTGCTTTTAAATCATTTAATACCATAAAGCTATTTGATGAAAAAAAAATAATTGGTATGTCCACATCAACATGTACATTTATAATGATGTTATAGAAAAAGTCACATGAGATAAATATTTAAAAACTTCAATATTCCTAAACAAATTAACTTTTTAAAATTTTATCTGGTATATAAGATAAAATAAAGAACATATTTAGGTAATTTTGAATTTGCATAATTTTATGAACTTATTTATGAAATTAACAGTTACATTGTAAAAGGGAACTTTTTAAAAATACCTCAATAAAGCATTTCTTTTGTAGAGGTGAACTTTTAGTACTGATCTAATATATTTATAAGATTTTAAACTGAGAAAGACAACAATAATAGATTACAATACATTGCAAGATTGACTGATAAATGTAAAATTTTTACATATCATAATTATGTGTGTAATTAAAACAGAAGTTACTCGATTAACTTGCATGCAAATTAATATTTTCTTTAACATGTTTGGGATAAACTGAATTTTAATAAATAAATATGTATATATTTGTGTATTATCTGAAGATATGAATGAAATATTTGTGACATTAAACATTCATCTTCAAGGAAAATAACAAAGTCAACTTGGTAAACTATTGGAAAAGGTAAGTTTTCTACAATTTCCTGGTCTATATTTAACAATTTTAAAATTTAGCACACTCATTCAAATAATCTAAACGTATGATGTTTTCTTTTGTGCTACATTCGTTTACTGAATTTGTTAATTAACTATATTGTACTTTAGATAGAAATTAACGTAGATATTCCCTGTATTTTACGGTATACAAAAACTTATATATTTGATAATAATTGACCTAAATCTTCCCTATGTTTTCTTTGCATATACGAATGACTTTGGTAAAAATTTAGTCCGATGTCTTCTCCTCTTTACTGTGTATAAGTGCACATTTTTGGTAAAAAATTTGCATAAATCTCCAATTACCTATTTACTTACTGCATTTTTCGTAAAATGTGCTTATTTTAATCTCTTATTTTTTATATAAATCTATGCAAAAATGTTCTGCATATTATGATTAAAAGATAAAATTAATTTAATATCAAATTTTTACATATCCACCTTTTAGGTATGTACAGCAATATGGAATATATATAACTGGAAAATTTAAATGCAAAAAAATTAATTTCTATTCAAAAATTACATAACACTAAAAGGCTGAAAATCACTTTTAATATTTCATTTCAAAGTGACTACAAAATATGCAATAAATTTTGTAAACCTGAGTTCTATGTTTTAAATCAATTAATGCTATCGTTCATTTACATGGCATAAGAAAATGTCCTTCGAAAAAGCAAATAATTTATTTAAAGTGTTATTTAGTAAACAACTGTTTGCTACAGTTTTTTACTAAATTTAAATTTATGAAATGAATTTAGTAAACAAAAATGCAAATGAACGATAGCATTAATTGATTTCAAACACAGAATTGATGTTTACGAAATTTATTGCATATTTTCTAGTCACTTTGAAATGAAATATTAAAAGTCATTTTCAGCCTTTAAGTGTTACGTAATTTTTTAATAGAAATTTATTTATTTATTTATTTTTTCATTTACTAGTGCATTTAAATTTTCCAGTTATATATATTCCATATTGCTGTACATAACTAAAAGGCAGATATGTAAGAATTTGATATAAAAATTATTTTACCTTTTAATCATAGCATACAGAAAGTTTTTGCATAGATTTATATAAAAAATATGAGATTAAAATAAGTACATTTTATGAAAAATGCAGTGAAAAGGTAATTGGAGATTTATGCAAATTTTTTACCAAAAAATGTGCATTTATACACAGTAAAGTGGAGAATACATCGAATTAAATTTTTACCAGTCATTCGCATATGCAAAGAAAACATAGGGAAGATTTAGGTCAATTACTATCAAATATATACGTTAATTTCTATCAAATATATACGTTTTTGTACCGTAAAATACGGGGAATATCTACCTTAATTTTTACCTAATATATACGTTTATATACAGTAAAAAATCGGGGAAATTTACGTAAATTTTTACTAAATATATACGCATACGTGAAGCAAAAAATTGAGATTTACGTATATGCGATAAATATACGTAAATTTTTACTAAAAATATACGTAAATCCCTGAAATTTACGTATATTATACGTAAAAGTTGCGAATGAACAGTAGTCTCTCGCGTAAATATACCTAAATTTTACGTAAAAGTTACGTATAGTATAACGTAAAAATATACGTAAATATTTAGTAATTGCCACTGGACACTTTTTATGATATTTTTACGTTCAACTTGAACGTTTTTTATACGAAAGGCCATTCGTAAATTGCACGTATTTTTCTCGTGCAATTTACGAATGCATGCTGCCTGGGGTAGAAGTTCAGAAATCCGCAACGCTTGGGACCAGATTTCGTGCGGATTTTAGGATTTTTAAGATTTCAGGACAGAAAAAATAATATTCAGACTAAAAGTGAAAAATAAATAAGGCATATTAGATACGTTTAATTAAATTATTATATACATTAATACAATAACTATATGCATTAAATTATTATTACCTATATAAACTTATTATACTATATTGTTCATTTACATTAGACCCCTCTATTTTTAAATCAGCATGAATCTGCTTCCTTTTTTCTCTCAGGAATAGTCCTGAAATAGGTACCCTATTACTCCGCTGCTGCCAGAACCACTTGTACAAGACAGCATCGAGGCTTGCCGATTTCGCCTCATTTAAAGATTTCCAGTGTTAGAATCACTGTTGCTGTAAAATTTCAACAGCCTTTCTTTATTGTTCTGTATATCATACACAGTCCATGTGGCAATTCCATATGATTCTGCTATAAGCCGAACAGTAGCACCTGCCTCCATCTTTAGGAGAATTTCCACTTTTTTCATTACCGTCAGTGCAACATGTTTACGTTTTTCAACATTGTAAGCAGTAAAATCACGAGTGCATTTCTTATCTGTCATTGTATTAAAAGCCACTGAAATTTAAAATATTCTTAATTTATCGACAAAATATTCAGATAAAAGAAAATGACATCACTAAATCTCGTGAAATAACAAAGCTCAGAAAGTACAACAACATGTAGCGTGAACATGAAAGAGTTGAGTGAATCATCTGCTTTCTTACTTGGTTGAAGATTGGAGGAGGAAAAACTCATATCATGATGTCAGTAATTTGGTATTTCCGTTATGACACATTATTATTCGGTAATTATGACATCATTATCCAGTAAGTATTTTTTCTTTGATATTTCGTACTCCATGTTGAGGTTTCCGGAACCTATAAACTAAATGTTTATATTTTGAAAAGCAATGCGGATTTCAGGAATTGGTAGATTTCAGGTCAGCGGGTTTTCGGTATTTGACTGTACTTGTTTTTGAATTATACGAGATACATATGTATGCACGTATGTATGATGTCAGAGTATGTCAGAGACGTTGGCAGAGACTCTCTTCTAATTCCATTTTAAATACATTTTGGGAAAAAGAGATCTTTATTATGTCTACACATCCACATGTCATGCAAAAACACTGCTCAAATGGATTCAAGAACAGTCAAAATTTATATTTATTTTCATTGAAATAAGATATTCAAAATTTTCGCAATTACCAATACTTCCTTTACTTTGTACAAGGAAGCAAAATCTCTTCTCAGCATGCCTTAAGAGAAAATACGCAGATTTATCTTAAGTTCCAGGCACAAAAAATCAGAATTGTACATGCAAGAGTTCAAATTCAGGGAGGGGGGATAGCTTTAATTTTCAACTTTCTTTGACAATTCAAATTAAAAAGAATTAAAGTAAATTAACATTAACTAATACTTACCAGTAAAACTTACATCATATAATAATTCATTGGGCGTGCAGATCTGTTCAGGAGCATGTGGTTTCAGGAAACGAGCAGTTACTGTTGGAAATGATTGTTTGGCATAAAACATGTATTGCTGCCGCAGTTTAAGAGCTTCATGTATAAGTTGTGAAGCTTGTCGAAGATCTTCCAGTGGAACCTTTTATCAACACAAATATATATATATATATAATAAATATATATATATATTATAACTAAAATTTTGAGATAGTTACATTTTTACTTCATTACAGCTTTTGAGAATTTTCAAATTAGCGAGATATATAAAATTTGAAGCTATTTAGTCATATTTAATGAAATTTAACTTTTTTTATATATTAACAGAGCAGCCTAAAAATTTTCCACATTAATAAATCATAAAAAATACACACATTTTTAAATTACACTTTATGCATTGTTCAAAAGTTTTTTAAATGCATGGGATTAGAAGAAAAGTAATAGATAATTAGAATTTACAGATATACGTTGATTTTCTAATACCATTAGTTGCAGAGGCTTGCCAGTTTAAAACACCTTCAGAATTCTTTTGACAAGAAAGTTTTAAATTTTAAAAAGGACATTTTTATCATGTTAACCCTAACCAGTTGAGACAAAAATAAGCACCAACAGCCAACATGATATTTAGCTACTTTTAAACAGGATTATATGAATTATTTACATTCTAATAAAACCTTCTTGTGATTTACCTCTAGTTTTATCCCATATACACGACAGCACTGGTAGTGCTTCTACTCTAAATATATAAAAGGCCTAGTTAATATGGCAGTAAATTTTTGAAATTATAAAAGCAAAACAAGTAACATCTTCAGCATTTCCAAGAATTCTACTTACACAGTTAGTTTACTATACTCATTTGGTAGCCTGGCTTAAATGCTAAATAGAAGTCATTATTGCTTGCCTACTTCTGCTTCCAAATTCCTTCACTTTACAGTCAGCTGAACTGTCCAATAGCATTTAGATTAACATATTAAATCTCAGTATAAATATTATAAGTGAGGATTTGAAAAAAGCACGTTTCCATGAAATGCTACAGGTTGCCGCTGGTGTTATCTCATTTAGTCTGATACGACTTTTATATGGATTTGTGCAACCACTCTTAAAATCCATGATGCAGGTTTTGAACTCATTTGTAATAGAATACAAGAAACACATTAAACTGTTTCCTCAACTATGAGCTTAAAAAACCGTCGTTCAAAATATCTTGAGATATTCAGTAGGCTCAATTTTTCTAGATTGTAAATTTAATGTCTTTTGTATAACTTGGGACTCAAATCAGGGGAAAAACATTTGATTCTTTCGGCCAACTAATTTTAAGCCCCTATAAACACTGTCTGTACATGTATAAATACACAGCAGAAGTGCTACATATAAACAAAATTAAAGTGCTACATAAATTTATTTACAATGTTAAAATATTAAACTAAGGCAATATTTTATATACAAAAGTACAAAATTTTATTTTCATGTGAAGTTTAGAGACCATTGGCTCAATGTTAAACTCTTCACCTAAGTAATTTCTGTTTCCTCATTACTGGATATATTATCTAAAGTTTCATACATCTGAAATAATTTCCTCATCAAACAATTTTATGCAATAGGAGCCCAATTTTTGGAAATAATGCAATCAAAAATGATTTTGCTTCTTAAAATCTCAAGCAAATCTGAAGTTTCATTTTGGGAGGGGGAGCAAGGAAAACAATTCTGCTGCTTTTGCATGAAGTACCTGATTGAAACCTAACACGTTTGCAACCCCACTTTCAATGAGGAGTAGCTGTGGTTGTTTACAAACCATTTTAATAAGAGTTAACTAAAGTCCCCCTTCCCCAGAGCAATATTTAGACTTGATAAGGCCCTAAGCTATTTGGGATATGGGGTCTTTATACAAGTCTGTTATAATATTTTTAATACTATTTATACTATATTTTAATTTTGGGGGGGGGCATTAAGCTATAGCTTGTGTAGCTTATACGTAAATCCGCCCTACTCCCCCCCCCCAAAAAAAAACCACGTATTCACTTACAGAAAGGAGAGAAAGATAAATGACAAAACATTTTCTGAAGAATGATAGAATTCCTTTTTAAAATATTTCGATATACAGCTATATATCTATGGGTAAAATTACATTCGAAATAACTCTTATACTCTAGATTTAGGCAAAAATAAGCTTTCTCCAAACTGAATCTCAGTGCTACATCTTCTAATTATGTTATCAAAAGTATTATAAATGAAATTTTGGATCCATTTTAATAGTTTCTGCCTTTCTGCCTACCAGGAAAATCTCTACAAATGATATTTGTAAGAATACATTTCTACTGTAAGAATACATTGCTTTCTGCAGATTATACACAAACCACTTGCAACGAGGTTTAGCAATATATTAAAATATGAACTCAGATTTGAAAAAGAGCGCAGTTTATTTATGCATATGCCATAAATATTCAGAATTAATGTCAAAAGTAGAACATATACTCAAAAGCATATATTTATCTAAAACAAAAAATTTTCAGATTTATGATCTAACCCATGTAAAATAAGTGCTATATGCACGTGCAGAAAATGCTAAATAACTTCATTAATAAAATTAATTTGCTAAAATTTACTTTGGCACTGCCTCATAGTATACTAATGCAACAAATCTGCAAAACATATACATACACCAGATGTATCCTCTCCACTCACAGCAACTCTTTGGTAATGAGGAACATAATCAAATTCATTCAGCTGAGATATGAAGTCTTCATCGGGTTCGGTACCAAGAATGCTTTTCTTCTCTTCCAATTCTTTTTGCACCCTGAAAGAAAAATGTAACATTCATTTTGAAAAATGGATATATATTCATACTTAAATGTTTAATGTACTGTACTTCAGTTTTAATAGGATTTAATGTTTCATATATGGGTTTTATTCATACTGGTAAACTTCTGGAAAATAAATAATCAGACTATTTTTTCCAAAAGATTACTCAACAGGTTGCAAGATTCTTTAGGATTAAAGACCACTTTATACTTGACAGTGATCAACACACATTCAACTTCATGTTATACTTATGTGGTCCACTATAATTTGTAACACTTGCAGAAAACCAGATTTGAAAAAACGGGGTGTTCATGCATACTTCTGATCCTTTTTTAATTATAAGATATTCCATAATTCAAAATGACCTCATTAATGACATACATTAGATATACCCAGGAAAAGTAGGTAATAAATTTATAAAGATGGCCAGCTCCTAATTTCATATTAAAGCACACACAATTTGTAATATCACCCCTTATCAATACAAGAGACCAAGAATGATATTCCATTGAATTAATAAATAAGTCTGCATCCCAAAATGCCATCTCACACTTCACATTTTGATTTCTTATGCCCCCATTTGGATGACTGTTTCAAAATAGGGTAAATGTTTTTTCATAAGAGTGATTTAAAGCTATAGATATAAAATTGCATGGAAGATTTGCATTAAAGTTGTTTAAGTATAGAAAACAATAAACACATATTTAAAAACAATATAAAACAATGCAGTTTCAAGATTTTAAAAAGTCGGTATATGCATTAACATAACCACCTGAATACAAATCGCCAAATTTTCAGAATGTTCCATTCTTCAGGCAACCATGCGTATAGCCATTCTTCAGGCAACCATGCTCATAACAACCATTCAGTTGAGCTATGCCGCCATTTCATATGTGTTTTTTGTTGCATTCCAAATTCCAACAGTTTTCATGAAAAAAAATTTTTTTTCTTTAGTTTTAAAATATGAACTTGTGGAATTTTCCAGCAATGTAAGAAACTACAATAAAATTTCTGCAAGAACATAGAACTTTGCTGAAAGTTTTTAAAGGGAACACTAAAGAAATGCATTTCCTCAAAAGCCACTGTTGTCGAAACCGAGTCAACACAATTTTCTGATGCTTTTTAAAGTGAAAATGGATCGTTGTATACTTTGGGAGTATAGTACAAAAAATTACAGAAAGATCTGAAGAATGATTTATTATTTAATGTATTACATAATCCTTATTTAATAATTCAAATTTGTATTTTAAATTGGCTAGCAACTTATGATAAATATCAATAGTTTGAGAATCTTTCTGAAAAAAAAAAAAAAAAAAAAAAAAACCTGAAAGCCCAATACACTTGCACCCAATAAGTAACATTTACTTTTTTATTTGGAAAAAATTGCCATATTGCATCAATATGCAAGACCTGCATTGATACCAGACAGTCTTGCTGGCGCTGAAAATGATATGAAAATTATTTTTTAGTCTTTTCTTAAATACTGAAATATTTTACATCTAACTGAAATGATTATGTAATATAGATACAGCCTGCGATGAATTTTTTATATAAAATGTTTTTATCATGATATTATTTAAAAAATTCCTTATTCATTACAAGATCTAAATTTTCAAATGTTTGTAATTTCATTTTCCTAACTGCATGTAAAAACACTTTTTCATCACAAATACAGGTTAAGTTTCTCACTGAAAAAAAAAAAAGAATATTAAAAACACATATTGAGTGCACATTGTTTGGGAATAATATTCTTTTGTAAAGCAGCTGGGTACACTAAAGGGCATGCTATCTCCAAATAACTAAGTTAGATGTTATCTCCAAATAACTATACATGGATCATTTCAAATAAATACTGCATCTCAGTATCATATAAATTTGACTGACAATGAGATTTTTCTTTTGCCCTTGAACAGAGGCCTATGTCTTAAATTTTTGACTATGTATGAATTTTTTCCCCACCTATAGAGAAAGGAGGTTTAGCTCACATCTACCTCTCTTATGATACTGCTGTAGTTACAATTGGTGCACTCATGTAATATTATCTCAGCTTCTTTAGGACCATGCTAAAATGAAATCTAATGAAAATAATTTTTTGCAAAATACATTTCTGAGGTAACTATTTACAGTTCCAAAAAATTTTGGTCTTCAGTGCCATTATCTTTCAGAAAAAGATAACTGGAGATTACAATTTTTATTTTGTTATTCAAGGCTTTTGGAGTCTGTTAATGAAAAGTAATGAAGCAGAATTGTGATATACATCAGTTTATGTTCTATTGCATCTTAAAAGTCTCCTTCCCCCATATTTTTATATGGAATTTTGCTTCTTTTTGACACTTTTATTATTTATGCTTTACTATATTACTGCTTCAGAGCATTTTCAGACATTTAGTTTGAGAATCTATAACTGTGAGCTTTGGGATTATAAAAAAATTGTTATCAATTTCTGTACTAAGCAGAAATTTTACTTTGATTCTGTTTTTTATTTCAGGCAAATATGTTTATTCATTTCAGCTAATTTAACCCTTTATTAATTCATAGCAACTTATTTTTTCATTCTTAATCTATCAACTTTAGTTCAACCCACAGTACAGATTTTTACTTATGTTTTTTCCAATTTTATTGCAAAAAATTGTTATAAATTTTTTATTCAATTTCAGGAGCAATTGTTACTAAAATATTCATGAAATGAAGTCTACCTACTTCATTTTTTTATCTTTTGCCAATTATTCCCCTTTTCTAAAATGGTAATTACTCCATAAAATAAATCAACCATATTATTGATATGTATTGGACTTTTTTACTAGCTTCCTTTATGACAGACCATTTAGCAACATCACCGATTTTAAATCTTGTTTCTAAATTTAATGTCTTCATTTTACCCATTTTTAATTTCAGATTTATAAAATTAATAATATAAAAAATAAAATTATACATGTTCAAGTTGTCAATTTTAAAATAAACACAAGTAACAGTACTCTACTATAATTGGGACCGGACTTCAAAATGTATGTATGCATGCATGTACGTTTGGATGTATGTGTTATGTACGTACATATATTGGCACACACATACATATATACATACAGATATGCATACATATCTTTATATATATATATATGCAAAATATAAGAAATATGATAGTTTTGCTCTATGCGAACAGGCAACCTCTAACTTTCCGCAATTTCAGGATCTTCTCCCTAGACCAGTACTTTTGAGAACATTCTGGCATGTTACGTAAACGCTGCTATAAATGAAGAGTTTGCGCCATTTTTCATGACACAGCTCCCTGCCATTGCTGCAATAAGACCTTACGCTGTCGCTTCTTCTTTTCCTTTGTTAGAATTATGATGTCGAAAGCTTAATCTTAACCTTATTTTAATTTAAATCATTACTGAATATGTAGTTTTTGAAGAATCTGAAAAAATAATGATCTGCAATTTTACGTGAATAAAGCTATGGAGTTTTAAAACTTAAATTCTTCTATGTCTTCAATTCGGATGCCTTCTCACTCCGCAACGACCACACCCGGACTCTAATATGACCAGATTGCTAAGCTTCAACATTTCCAACGCCAATCTACTGCAAATATTACATATATATACAGTCAAAAGTCGTTAATTCGGACACCCATAATCCGGACCTCAAAGCTACAGACTTTCTGCACATGCGTCGCTTTGACGCATGCGCGTAAGACTTTTACGGCTGCGAATATGTGTGTGCGCATGCGCATAATACGTTTATGCATGCGTGTTTAATGCATAACGGATGGTATAAGCTAAGCTAAAATTATCTAATTCAGTTAATGTTGCAGATTGCGTTGTTCCTTAATCTTCTATTTGGATCCGGCTTATTTTTTGCAGACTGTTAGAGCAATTTTATAAAAGTAAGCTTGAACTTTCGATTATGTCAAATAGAATTTCTGATATATATTTACTAATATGTAAAGGATCCACAAAGCAAAAGTATATTTCGAAGTCCATTAAACATAAAGTGGAATTGCTGCAAAAAATGGATAAAGGCATATCCTTTGATTATCTAATCATTCCGAAATATGTTTATCAATTTCACACTGCTCTGCGGGGGGGAGGGAAACGACGCGGCACGCAATGAATTGGAAGTTGATCTGTCAGCACTATCCTTATCTTCAGGGCAGATGTTTTTATTTTATTTGGCTTATAATTCCTTACTAAATGTAGTATTTCATCTCGATGTACTCCGTCTTTGATATTATTTAAATCAAGTTCCTCCTCATTATAATTCGCTTCCGATAGTGAAGAAAGTGACACAGAGGTTATTGAAAATGAAAAAATTTCGATTGACAAAATTAGTCTGCATTCTCGACACAGCAATTATAGGACTTGAACAGCGGAACTTAGTAACTAAACAAGAAATTATGTCTGTTTAATAGAATTAAAGAGAAAGTATTATCACATGAACCGAAGCAACTTAAACAACTTACATTGAAAGATATATTTAATAAAGTAAATAAATAAATATTAAGCTTTTTCTTTTTGTAAATTTTGATACCCTTTAGATCATAATTGTTCTTTATTTCATAAATTACGGTTTCATATTTTTAATTTTACAATTTTTGCATGCCATCTTACCAGATTTAAACTGATGATCTATAATCCAGAATCGACGAAGTCCCGACGAGTCCGGATTAACGACTTTTGACTGTATATACTAGAGAAGAAGATTATAATTATCACTACCAGATTTTTTTTACATGTGTAAGCCAAGTCCTTTTCACATGTCTGTGCATTTTGTTTCCTAATTACTGAATCATATCCATAATACATAAAAAGAAGCACATGAAAAGTAGAATTTTCTACATAAAATTTTTTTAAACATTACCTGGTACATAATTTTCTATATAAAATTATTTTAAACATTACCTGGTACATAATTTTTTCTGAATAGCTTTCCTTGTTTCATGAACTTCGATAGGGAAGTGTGGAAGCTCATAAGGAGCTGAAATCTCATTTTTCATGGCATTCTCTTGAGAATGGTGTATTATAGTCTTAGCAGCTTCTTTAAAATCTTCATCTTCATCATCAGGTGTCACAATATCCAAAACTTTAAAATCCCTAGCAACATAGTCCCCAGATTCACCTTTAAGTAAAAAAGTAAATCAAACATGGAAGACTTTAGCTTAAAAAGAAAGTAAAACTTGAATATTCTTCACACTCATGCACATACATAAAAGTCATTTGAAAATGCAAATTTTAATATGTTCTATAAATGATATTTCAATGACTAATACAAGAAATAAACATTCACTTGAAAATAATTCCTTAATGTAATGCAAGACGATTAAAAAATAAGGATTAGATGCTACTTGCTTACAAAATCATAGCATAGTACTTCATAAACATCAGGAATTTTCAAAATCAAATTTCTAATAATTAATCAGTGTTTACTGATACAGTAGTCAGGTGGTATTTTAGAATAAACTGTGTGAATTGAGGTATCATCTCAATTATAGAACTGAGAGGGGGGAAGAGACTTAATTAAGGCAGAACACAAAAACATTTATATGCCTAACTCTATCTCGATTTTGATCAAACCCTTCCAAAGGGATATGAAGATTTTGGATACTTCGTTTCCTTTTATCAACATCTCCAGAAATGTGAGAAAGAAAAAAAAAAAAAAAAAAAAAAAAAATTTCATTTTCTGTCATCACAGAAATTGAAAGGAATTCACCACTCCACAATCTAGCTTTTTTTTTTTTTTTAAATAAAATGTAATCTGAATGTCCTTGCTTATTGGTATAAAAAGAAATATATTACGCAAATCATTAGAGAAATTTTTCTACCGAAAGTACAATATTTAAGATTTTAACTTCTAGCACTATTTGGGCAAAATACTGCTTGATATAAAGTTTTAATCCCATTTGAAAATGTTAAAAAGAATGGTCTAAAAACATATAAAACTATAAAAAAGTTGGTACTTTTCTGTTATGCACCTGCTACACTTTTTGGCCCCTGTAAATCAGAAGCTAAACACATGACAAGACCTGATGATAGTAGCATCTGGTTTTTATGTGTGGGGGTGTGGGTAAACAAGAACAATTAAACACACATATGTATTAGTTAGAAAGTACTGCCAACATGTATGGCAGGTACACAATGGAAGAGTACCAAAAAATTACTGCTAAAATAATAGTATTTTCTTAAATTTAAACCAATACAATTTATTAAATTAACAAAGGATTAAAAAAGGATTAATAAAACAAAAAAATAATAACTATAGACAAAAAACATAAGATAACTTACTATAACATTTTTGTTTGCATTTCAGTTTCAGAATACAAAAATTAAATTTGCTGCATAAATTTAAAAAAAAAAATAAGTAATGATTATTACAAGCTGAATTACGAGTTTATTAAGATGAGTTTTTACATTTCAATTAAAATTTTTAAATGGAAAACCAGCTACTTATAAAATTTGTGAATCCTTTAAAGTTTCAATATAAATTATGATTTTATATCAGTTGAATAGTTATTCTATTAAGTTTAATTAAGATCATTTTTCGTCATAATAAAAAATGGAATCCAGCATTTACTTAGCTTATCAAAATTCTATATTTGCCCTTAATTTGAAAAACTTGGTAACAAATCTGACAGAATTAGTTACAGCAGGATTCCCTAAACTCGACATAATGTGGACCGAGAGACCATCGAGTTTCCGAAAAGTCGAGTTTTACAGAATAAGGGGCGAGTTTTTCAGAAATCTTAATATTTAATTGTAAATTACTCAAGACATTTTTTGCACAATATTGGACACAGAAATATACAGCATATTAATGTTGATTTTTGATGTCAAGTTCTAGCACAATAGGAGTCATAAAAAGAACCAATATCTTAAGATTATTGAGTAAAAAACTTGCATGTAAAATGAAGAAAAATTATTAGTAGTTCTTGGTAGGAAAATATTGTGTGATGGTAGATTATCTCTCACATTCATTCCGTCATGATGCAGCTTCATCCCATAGGTGACAGAGGATCACAATGTCAATACCAGATGCACCTTGCTCCTTCATATAACAAAGCATTCCTTCAGCGGCCTTCAGTCCTTCACTATGGGTCATTTTAGCTTTTCTGTTGTCTTCTGATTCATCTTCATTTTTATCCCCACTGTCTTTCACCAGTGCAACTATTTCTGCATGTCCTAAAATTTCACAACTTTCATTTTGCTCCATCCGTTCTTCAACCATTACCATCAATAACTTCTTTGCGCCTGGAATTTTCTCAAGTAAGTCAACTATTTCACAATGCTCTGTCTCATCTCTGCTTTTGTGAAATTCATTTCCTGAATGATCCAGGAATGAAAGAAGCTATCTCTTAATTTCACTCCAAGAATAAGATATCCATCCAACATATCTTTTTCTTCAGTTTCTAGATCATATCACACCCTTCCTCCATGGCTAAGGCAAGAGATGAAAGAACTTTGTCTGTATTTTTTCTTCAATGCCTCTAAAATGTCCTGGTCCATTGGCTGACACACTGAAGTTATGCTAGGATGGAGAAATATGGCTCTTATATCTTCATCTCGGAAGTGTTCTGCATCAGGATGGGATGAGGCATTGTATAGAATGAGAATTGCTTTTGTTGGCATATTTTTAATTTTTTTTTTTTTTTAAACTTTTCTGTCGATGCAATGAACTGCTGATGAAACCAATCATTAAATAATGTGCCATTCAACCATGTGTTTGACTGATTTCGGTACCAAACAGGTTGATCATAGTTGGTTTTGGTCCCATTAGTTTGCATTTTTATGTTTTTAAACACCTGGCGATTTTTTTGATTTGCCTATAAACAAAAATTTGAGCTTATGGCTGCCTGTTGCATTGCTGCATGCAAAGATTGTGACTTTCTCCTTGCTTATTTTGTAACCTCATCACAATTATAAATTTGATCTCCAGACATACCCTCCTTTTCAATTAGTTTGTGGAAATTATCCTTGAATATTGCAGCATTTCCTAAGTTAGCAGATAGCTTTTACCCACAAGTGTTTAACTGCCTGATGCCGTACCGTCTTTTCTATCTGTTGAGCCAGCCTTCACAAGCAGTAAATCTAAGCTCTCCTTCTTGAAATTCATCATAAAAGTTTAGGGCTTTCTCTTGTAAAATTGGTCCTGAAATGGGTGTTTCCTGTTCTCTTTGTTAGCAGAACCACAAATAAAGCATCATGCTCAATTTTTCTTACAAACCACCTTTCATACTTTTTCTTTCCTTTAAATTATCTGTATATGCTCTTTTCACATACCAAGACTCGATTTTGGACCTCTTCTTCTTCCACCCTATCAAAGTAGTTGATCAAAATGCTAAATCCATGGTAATTTCGTTTACGCTTTCCCACTTTGTTCAATCTGTTTAGGGTTATATAGTTTCATTTCCATTGTCATGTTAGTTTGCTTTCTTATCTTTTCAAACTACATTTTCACTTCACAGAATATCAAAAATTCCCAAAAATATGTTAACACTTATACGCCTGGATGTGAATTATACCCGCAATGAACTGGTGCGAGTTTAGTTTGCAATAAGATACAATCATAAAACCTCAGACAAGTCTCCTAACATTTCGCAACCATAGAAACGAATGTGAGGCAGCTACTACCTGACTTTCTTTGTATCTTCAAAAGAAACAAACAGCTTTGCCAAGTATTACAACATACCTTGAAATTTGTTAGGCAGTTCCAAGAATTAATGGCACAATGTGAAAATGGCAAAAAATTAGAGAAAAAGAAAACTCAAATCTTTGAACAAAACATGAAAAACATATGCATAAATAATAATTATATGTACTGTATATAATATTTGCTCTGTTTGGCCTAGAGATATCTTAAAAAAGTTCCTAAAATGTTGTCGAGTTAGACAGAATGTCGAGATATCAGAGTCCAATTTGCGGGACTCTACCATACTAAAAGACAATTCCACAAAGCTATAAAAGATAATGACCTCGCTATTCCATTCTTAGTTATGCTACATTAAAAGCATAAATTTAAATCTTGCAGAAATTACTTTTAGAATTTATACACATGTTTAGTGTTAAACACTATTTTTCTATGGTTACACTCACAGGTTTATATCATGTAAACAGAATGTACGAGGGCCATCCAGGAAGTAGATTACGTTTCCGTCTGTGTCCGCTAGGGGCGGGGCTAGCGCGGCCATCTTGGGGTCAGAGCGTTGCGCAGCTCAGTCTGCATCTAGCCGTGCTAGTGAGAGGTTCGTGCTGTGCTCCGTTCAGATACTGTGACGGTTTGAAATGTCTGCGTTAATTGAAAATCCCGCGAGCTGCGAGGTGCGCTCAGTAATAAGGTTTCTGACTGCAAAAAACTGTAAACCGATAGAAATCTATCGGCAGCTTCGTGAAGTGTATGGGGACAACATTATCACTGAAGGTGGAGTGCGTCAGTGGGTCATAAGATTTCAAAATGGCCGAACCAATGTTCACGACGAAGATCGAAGTGGGAGACCCAGCATAGTGACCGCCGAACTTCTCGAAAAAGTCGATGCTAAAGTCCGTGAAAATCGAAATTTCACAATAACGGAACTTTCTTTGAGTTTTCCACAAATTTCGCGAAGTTTGTTGCACGAAATCATCAGCGAAAAGCTTGGTTACCACAAGTTTTGTGCAAGATGGATTCCAAAAATCTTGACAGAGGACCACAAAAATCAGCGAATGGCTGCAGCGTTGAACTTTTTGGACGCTTACCATAAGGATGGTGACTCTTTACTCGATCGCATCGTTACTGGTGACGAAACATGGGTGAAACATGTGAACTGTGAAACGAAATTGCAATCAATGCAGTGGGGGCACACAAGTTCTCCCCAAAAACCCAAGAAATGCATGCAAACAATGTCGGCAAGGAAGATGATGGCGACTGTTTTTTGGGACAGAAAAGGTGTAATTTTGGTGGACTTCCTGGAAAGAGGCACTACAATAAACTCTCAAAGGTATTGCCAAACTCTCCAAAAACTCAGAAGAGCAATTCAAAACAAGCGCAGAGGAATGTTGAGCTCTAAGATCTTGTTGATTCACGACAACGCCCGGCCCCACACGGCAAATGTCACTCGTAAAGTTCTTGAATCTTTTAAGTGGGG